CTTAATGTTGGTTTAAAATGGAGCACTGTAACAAAAAATAATTTCCCCCAGGGATCAATAAAGTATTCTGATTCTGATTCTGATTCTGATTTCAGACTACGCAAACATAAATCTCCCATTTATTTATTTATTTTTCCTAGTGTTTGTTCTTTAGCTCATTTGCAAATAAAATTTTGGGCTTAAGAGGTTATCAGATCTTTCAGGATGCCACTTCACTAAAGAAAAACAGATACAGTAGAATTATATGTGGCTAGTTTTTGCTAATACAAGTTTTTAGATCCAGAAACTGCACATTTTTTAGACATGCACAGACAAACAGCAGCACCAATATCTGTGTCTCCTGATTTTAAATTCCTAATGTGAAATTGCTCATTGGCAATGTGATTTTACTGTCTTTCTGTTACTCACAATCACCAATTAATAAACTGTAGTACGTAGTGGAGTATGTACAATTTAAATTGTGTAGTTTTAGCAAGCTAAGCTTTGGTTATTTTCTCCGCTCCACACCGTGCGTAGTTGTGTCACAGCTGATTGAGACAGGCTGGGATGGCTGCTGTAGCCATGGCTTTGCATTCATTGTTGGAATTGTGTCTGTGACACATTAGCTTAAAACCTGCGAAACACTTAACTGCACACAGAAACTGTGAGAGCACTAAAGTCCTGGCTGAATATTACATTGAACTTACTGAGCTGCTTTAGTAACACACAGTGCTGTTGATCACGTAGACCTTAAAACAAATGGACTGCCATGGCTTCTGGGCGAGTTCGACATTTACCATCTTGGCTTCATAAGGCCTGATCCTGGATAAATAGGGAGGTTGCATCAGGAACGGCATTCACTGTGGCAATTCCTCAGGGAATAAGGGAGGGGCTTGAAAGTATCTTTAAGGTAGCCATGACCTAGGACATCTAACATCTTTAACATCTTTACTGCCTGTTTCTAACTAGGACAATATCGAGAGAGAGAGAGAGAGAGAGCGCGCATCACGGTGTATTAATAAAGAGACTTAGAGAATCTCGAGTGAGGGCAGAGTGAATATTTTCTTGTAGACTTCTGTAGAGTCTGCTTTTTCTCCCAACCACAGCACTGCTCATTAGAAACATTAAGTTTTATTGAATAAATGGCTTTATTTTTCAGCCCTAGATGCCATGTCCATCTTTAAGATACAGTCTATAATTTAACAGAGCTCTTTTGACTAATTTCAGTGGGAGCAGTATTGTAGCGTACAGTTTTGAGCCATATCCATACCATCACAGATTCAACCACAAATGCATTTTTAAGTCTGAGCAATAACCCCCAAATATCTGCAGAGAATATCTGGTTATCTGCTACTATACACCAGGAAAAATGCCAACGGTTGTATATGAATACCACAAAAACAACTGCAAAGAAACCCAAAAGAAGGTGAGAAAAGCCCTCAGTGGTCTTTTAGGATTCAGATGAATAGAAGAGAAAAATGAAGGCTGGAGAAATGTACATGGAAGCACCAGATTTAATCTTGCCTAGGAATTCGTCCAACCTCGATAGCGGCAATAAAACAGCGCTTGTTAACTTTCACTCCAGTGTTAATCCTTTACCGTATGATGCATTTTTACACAACATTAAAGGGTTGCCTTTGGTTGGCATGGAACTAGAATAAACACACACACACACACACACACACACACACACACACACACACACACACACACACACACACACTTCTTGCAGTTCTGGTGTCCTGGGCAGACACCCAAACTGTGGACAGCCTGGCCTGTGTCTCAAGCTGGGTATGTGCTGTTTTCTGTGTGTGTGGCGTGTTGTCGCCATGTCGTGGCTTGTGTCCTATTATCACCCCTCTCCCCCTTTCTCCTCCTCTCTCTCTCACACACACACACACACGCACACACACACCTCTGCCCCCTTCTGGACTCGGCCAGCAGCCAAGACTGCAGCACTGGGACACTCCATTCACTAAGATTGGTGAGGTGAGAAGAGGGAGGGGGTGAGATGAGATGTGTGTCCCCCAGGATGAAAGCAGCTCTGTGGGGTCACAATGAGACACAAACAGCCACCAGCTCTGTCAGCAGCGTCTACTGTCCATGACTGAGGCTGAATGTACAGGAATGTGGTATTTATGCCAGAAACAACTGTTTAGTTTGTGTGAGTTTGTGTATCAAAAATCAAGTAAACGAGCAGCTAAACACTCACTCAGAAGCTTTAAATTCCAAAAAATTATTTTTATTCTGAATGACCAATAAAATTATGGCAAATATTTACAAATAATTACTTCTTAGTTTCACATTACAGGTACATAAATGGAATAATTCACCAACAACAGTCACTCAGGTGGACGGATGGACAGGTACACAGACTGAGTATGAAGAAATGCATCAAGTAAACTGCAATTTAATATTTCACAGTAAACTCAAAGCCATGAAATAAAATAACAATAATATTAACAATAAAAATATAAAAAATAAGCATAATATCAAATTCACCATTTACTTTCAGTTTTCTGAACAAAACTGATCGCAGTTCAGGAACAAAATAAACTAACAAACAAAAAGTGAAGAAAAGATAAAAAGAAGAAAAATCAAGTGATATGATATCTTTGGCAAATTCGCACTGCAGTAAAATACATTCAAATATTAAGACAACACACAACACACAAAGAGAAAAAACACCAAGTTTTGTTTGCAACTACTAGAAAATTGAATAAAAAACATACAGGTTTTCTTAAAGAAGCATTTCTTTTTACTTTTTTTTTTTTTAATCCTCCCCTCTAGAATATTTGAAGGCATTTCTCGTCTTCGTTTTTGTGTTTGTAACTCTTTTTCTTCTATTTCATATGGTTTTTGTACAAGAGTTTGTCCTTTAAAACAGGCATCACAGGCTTTGGTGAATGTTACAGATATGTTATCTTTTTTTGTCCCATTTTAATGTTGAAGAATAGAACACACTGAATCGTTGGACCCGAATTAAATTTTTGCCTTTTTGTCTTTTGTTTGTTCATTTTATTTAAATTCATATTTTATTTTATTTTATTTGGACCAAAATGTCACAGATATAAATATCTCTTCAAAACCCCAGATAGGAAGTCATGGACACAAAAAAAACTCCAGATTGTTACACGAAAGGCCACAGTAAGGTGAAAAATTATGTATCTATTCTTTTTTTCTTTTTTTCTTTTTTTTTGATTGAAACATCTGCTTAAAAAGCACAGTTGATTTTTGTAGGCTGAGTCGTGTGTATTACTCCTCTTCCACAGTTGAATAATATTAAGATGTACAGAACATTGTAACACTTCAGTATGAGATCTGTCCAGAGCCTAGTTATATCAGCAAGCATGAAACAGATTGTGCCACTAATTGCTGTCAAGATGTGATGCTGAATTCCCCTCAGGTTTTGGGAAGGCAGTAGCCTTCTTCATGGATTCATATTGAGATACAGTCAGGCAGTGCGCACTCGGCAAGAAATCATAATAAAGGAGAAAAAAACTCATTTGCATTTATTTCAGGTTCTTATTTGACTTGGAGCTGGGATCAAAATTCAGGATGCAATTTATTTTCATGGACAGTAAACTGTGGAAGTGCTGCAAATGAAATGTATTTGTTTGATCTGAAACTGGTGTTTCTTTGTGTTTCAAAATGCTCTACAGCCACACGGAGAGGAAATAGGAAACAGGAGATGCGAGATCTCACAGAGTGTTCTTGTCCAAATAAAGACGCCGGCAGCAATATTGCCATTGAAATGACCTCGCTTTGGCACGAAAAACACCCAGCTTGATTCCTATGCAGAATTTCTGACAGGACAGCGAGCATCACGTCTGAGGAGTCAGTGGGAAAAAGTGAGAGAAGTAAGAAGGAAAAAGGATTAATAGGGCTGTCTGAAGAAAAAGGGAGGACTTCTGAGGAAGGTCACAGCCCTGAAATCAAGAGAATACCTTTAATATTCCTAATCCTGGTGGTGTGGCAGTGGGGAGGAGAGGCGAGATGGGGAGACAAGTGCATGAGATATGATGAGATTAGGGCTGAGGAGGGATGGGGGGGGGGGGGGGGGGGGGGGTGAAAAGGGATGGGATGAGCTTCTGATGGCACAGCAGGTTTGGCCTCCCCTGGGGAACATGGGGGCATAAGAGGAGGGGCTACCACCACTTTGCAAAGGACAAAAGGAGGGAGCAAGAGTATGTCTGTACTTATATTTATGTGTGTGTGTATGTAGCCTCTGCCTGCCACGCTTTCTATAGTACCACCCACGGTGACTAGTCCCCCCCCCTTCATCACTGCAGTCAATGTCATAGCTGCCAATCCAAACAGCTGCCGGCCAGTGAGAATCCAGTCTCTCCCAATGTGAACCAGTCAGGTCAAAGCAATGGCAAAGCAAGCTGTGTCCCTATGAGATGCATAGTTAACCAACAGTCCTGTTAATATGTCACTGGACTCTGGTCTACACCGAATGACAACCACTGAGTTTGACTTGTTTGATTTAGCAAGTTGATGCAAGCGGACAACTGGATTTACCTCCTGAAGGAGAATGACTTCAATCAATTATTTCTTATTGTATGCGTGTGTGTGAACATGTTTAGACATCTTTGTGAGGACAGAAAATTGGCATGCTACTATACTTGTGGGGACCAGCAGTGCACTTATGGTGACAAAATGCCTGTCCCTAGGAGTCTTTGAGGCTCAAAATATGGTTTTAGTGTCAGGGTTACAATTAGGTTATGGTTAGGCTTAGGCTGAGGGTTAGGCATTCATTTTTGATGGTTAGGGTAAGCAGCTAGATTATGTCAATGAGATGTCCTCACTAAGATATGAAATTGTGTGTTTCTTTTAAATACTGGGGTTGGAAAAAAGAAATTCATTTTATTAATGAATAAACTTGATATATTTCTGTCATGTTCTTGGCTTTTACTTTTATATATATATATATATATATATATATATATATATATATATATATATATATATATATATATATAAAAACATATATATAAACATAGTTTAACCGTGATCTATGTTGTGGATATCTCCCAGAAATTGAACTTTTCAGTCACCCATTTCAGAAATATGCAAATATTATGCACTTGGTTGATGTTCGGATATCTTTTAATGACCCTAAAGTTGGAAAAAATATCTCACTGTCCCGCTGCAACCAAAAAAACCTCCTTGAGATTGGTTTGGTTGATGGCAGTTTAACGGTTGCCGTTGTTTTGATGGAAGATGCTGTCTTACTGCAAACACTCATCAAGCAGTAGTGAAACTTGTAAAAGTGTGATCCAAAACGAAATGGAGACCATTTGCCTTCACCTTTTGATAGCAAGCATCCTCCTGCAACCACTTGCAAACTGGTCAGGGAACACAATTTTTTCGTAGTTACCAGTGGTTACCAGTGTCACCAGTCTCCAGACCTATGTGACTGAGGCTTCAGCAGCTGATTTCTCAGCAACCTTTTGCAACCACTCACAACTCATTGGGGTGATACTCATTTTCCCCTAACGATGGGTGGTTGCCAGGATGTCACTAACTTGTCTAGGCCTGGGTGACTGGCTCTGTAAGCAGGTTTTTAGCCCATTAGCAGGTTCTGCATATACTTGTAGAACTGGAGTTGTGTCCTGTGACTTTGCTGACCCATTTCTTTATGGTCAATGTTCCCACACAGACACTACCACCCACTAACAACGTGATCATCTTAGGAGCTTTATCAAAAATGAAAAATGTTGTGCTATGTCAAAATTTGGGATTATTATCTAAAGATAACTAAGAATTTTGAAATAATATCATAGAATTTAGAGCTACAGATGGGGGAAAATATAAATAAAATAAATTCAGTGGTGGAAACAATCTTCCATGACATGACCTACTGTACTGCCACACAAAAGACAACTCAACAAAAAAAGACATCTGTCTTGGTGTCACCAGAAGTTTAGTCTCAGCTGAGTCGCTTGGATAGAAATCGTATGGCTCTGGCACTGTCACTACAGCTGATGAGTGAGGAATCAATCACTGACTTTAATACAACCAGGACTATTTTCTGCTTTTCGTTGCTGTAGCTGCTTAACAACATCTTTTTTTCTTCCGGGTTTTATGACTGAAAAATCCACATTCGGGGAGATTTATTGACTAATGTGGGTGCTGTTAGATCAGCTGTCAGAGCCGCGATGACACTGTTGTTGCATTGTAAGAATCACTGTGAGTTATTGGTACTTTAATCACCTTTATTTATTTGTAAAAGGCTTTGTAAAATCTTCAAACCCTGTGTTTGCCCGGGTAAATAATAAGACTTCTGTTAAATGCGTTGCAGGGAGGAAACTGAATCTAGTTTTAGTGACTCATAGTAGGTCAGGGGGATGTTGACATATAAAACTAAAGGCACTGTCCTTGTTTTCAGCTGGTGTGGTTCAGGTTCAATAATGCCTCAGAAGGATCAAGAGAAAAAGACAGAAATAAGGAAAGGCTCCCGCTGAGGCGCACGCTGGCAACACAGCAGGTGAGCCGTCATAAGAATCTTTCTTTAGAGTTGTGTATTCACAACTTTTAAGGTCTACAAACGTGAAAGGATCCACTCTATTACTATTTCAAAAAATCCCAGAAACAACAAATATTGAGAAACTAACAGCTTTGTTCAGGGTTTATAGTTATTGTATGTTTATAGAGCTATATATTATGCCTCACACTGCAGATTTGGTGCCTTCAATCTGTTTGCTAGTAGACACTACACAGTAGCAATGAAGCGCTACACTCAGCCACATATACCCAAAACAAAAAAGGAATCCAAACACTCGCAGATGATGGCCAAAAACAACACCGCACACCTTAAGTCTTTTTATAATAGAAGAAAGCTTCGACACTAAAATCTTCAGTGTGAATAACTGAAATCGCTATTGACATTGTGACTTCTCTTTCGCTGATTACTGTACAAGTCTGGTGAGGACAGAATTGAAACTGAAAAAGGTACAGGCTAAGGAAGATATTGCCCTCTCACAAGACCAATATATCGGCCCCTCAGACATTTGGGAAGGGAAAACACACTGATTTCAGATCTGTGCTGAGGGGCAAATCTGTCCTTGTCTGTCTGTCTGTACGAGATGGGTAAGGCCTCAACCCTGGTGTCATGCATTGTCACAGCGCAGAACTGATGTGGCAGACAAACAAACGAAAAAAAATAATAATCAGGTTTACTTTTTTTTCACGAAAGCAGTACTTTTATAGAAACAATTTCAGGATTTTAAACAAGCACATGTTTTGACACATACTCAAAACGGGGAAAAGCAGAAGAAGTACTTAATGGTTCTGAAAGGAAGCTGAAAAAGTAGAATGTCACCTTAAGAAGATGATTGAGTCTCTTTGTGCTTTTGTAAGAAGTCAGCCGATCCACTAGGGGGGCCCATCTTTGGGGAGTTTAAAGACAGAGATAGAAAGAGAGGGTGCCACTGCTTCCTGTTGGTCTTTGGCTGATGCTCGACTGGATCAGCAACAGGAGGGATACTCCTCACATTGGGTCTGATCCAGTCTAGCACCAGCCTTCGTTTGGACACTTAGGAAGCAAAATAAAAACACAAAAAACTTATTAAGTGGCACCTTTGTCAACTGATACCAGGCAACAAACTATAAACAGGAAAATCGCAATCTGATCACACTTATAAACAAAGACTTCTTATATTGAAAGTTTTTTCAGAATTCATATTTCACTGCGTCATCGCCGTCGTCATCGTCACTATTCTAGCACAACAGCGTGACACTATTATAAATCATTACAGGCATTCACTCTCATCACGGAGTGCAGCACAGAAAAGCTTCTTAATATATTACTCTGTGTCTCCTCCATTATAAATAGCTCTTGATCAGGACTAAATCTTGTCTGGGGAGGTAGGATACCACCGTCCTGTACTGTAACACAACCTGATGGAACCGATTTTGGTCCGATGTGAAGATGAGTACTGTTTGTTTTACAGTAGTGGGCTCAGATTTTAGGCTGTGCTTTCCTGAAAAGTCTCTCTATGTCTTGGTCAGTGGCTTTCAAACCAACTCAAATGCAAGTGTGAATGTAAGGCATGGATGTATTAAAAGAGCTGGGGCCTCATTTATACATTTTTATTATGTTCAAAGATTGGTTAATTACTTGTGTTTAATTATGTGACGACCATTGTTTATAGATCTCAAACCAACCTAAATTGACGGCACCTGTAATTTCAGCAGAATTGTGGCTTTAAACAGAAATAACCGAGGACCAAAACAGAAAAGAAAACTTTTTTGAGGACACGCTCTCTTAAGTAGATTAAGAGAAAATAAAAGAGAATCCAAATTTGCCAGTGAATCTGATTCTGATTAGCAGGAAAATCATGGACAGTTCAGACTTACAAATTAAGATTTTACGAATGTAACTTCATGTTATAAATGAGGCTTTTGGATGCAGCGATGTCATTCAGCACGTCCTTCCAATTTTTCTAGTGGTCAAATTCAGTATTGCAGGCAAAAATACCCACACCTCAAAAAACGTTTTTCCCCCCCATTTCTTGAAAAATACAAAAGAGTCATCTGTAGAACTACTAATGTTTCTACCTCTGATAGGTTGGCCCGTAATCGTTCTGTTATGAATTTATCTGTAGGCGTTGACATCCAGTATCCAGCTCCTCTTAATACATCCACTATGTGAGGACACAGTTTTCTTACCAGAAAATTGGATCATGCTTGACTTCAACTACTAAAACCCCACCCCTGAACAGCAAACATCCAGTCATGGTTTATTAACTATCTTTAGGCGTGCCAAGTTTTGGATTTTTCTACACGCTGAACCCGTGTGCATGGTGCAGCAGTAGAAATCACACACAGCATTTAAGGAGTCTTATCTTCTAAACTTTTTCCAATCCTAAAAGTAAAGAATGAAGAAATGAGGTGAGATGCAAAAATGCTCACTAGCTTACATACTGCATAGTGCACTGGTAACACAAAAGGATTGGATAGTTGACAGTTGTGTGATAGTTGTGTTTGTCGTAAGCAATCCGCCGCTTTAAAAATGACTAGAAATTCAGAGCATGTATACTCTGCAGAACTGGAAAGCTTGACCACTATAACAGTAACAAACGGGACAGGGCGAACATGCGTGACCCTGAACGCTCCCTTTGAAATAATGTTATCTCATTTGATGAACATTTCTGAGGGTTCCAGAGGAAAATGTGTTGAATCTGTGGCAGAACGAATAGAATGGTAACGATATGGGTGATTTTGGTCAGTCAAAGTTAGGATGATTGGATTGTCTTTACTTCACTGTAGCATGGCATAGAAAATTGATTGATTAATGTGCGGTCATAAAAATAGCCTACTGTTTGAAAAAGTTGATTTTTCTCTGATCAGCTTAAATAATTTCATCAAAAATATTCCCAACTGGAAAACCCAGAAGGTCACAATACAGATAGTTTTAATGCTACACACAGTCCGCTGACTTTTGGTTTATGACTGGTTAAAAACTAGATAGGAATACGAAGGCTTGATAGTGTGGGAGGGTCCAAATTTCCAAAATCTACTTGTTTACATAATCGGTTATTGACCTTGACATACCTGTGTCCTCACAGTATTGTATACCCAAACAGTATTGTGCTGCAGCTCAGGAGTGTATTCGTTGGTTTAAGTGTCACTCAAAGAAAATGCAAACTTCACCGATGTCAAAGATTTGAATTCTTCTCCTCTTTGAAGTCCAAGCGTAGGCGAGTTTGTACTGAGCGGTTCCGATGCTATCCATCCCTCCCTCATCTCCTTCTCCTCCTCACCCTGCGACTTCCTGTGTCTACACGAGGGTGTCAGTGGCGGTCGTAGGTGGAGGCTGTAGCGGTGGCAGCAGGGCCTGCCCCTCGTGATGTTGCACTGTAATAATATGGCGATCCTGGAGGGGGAAAAAAGCAAACACACAACTTTTTTAAGTCACTTAACTGAAAAAAATATGAAAACGTGATGTGAATCCAGGTTCTTTAACCTTGGGCTTTTTTCTTGTCTACATAATTAGATTATTAAAACCTGTAATTTCTGCCATGTAAGAGCTGAAAGCAGAGAAAAGACATTATTTTAAAATGGTGTGTGCTGAGCAATTTACAGGCAGAAACAGAACAGCGATGGGATTTATCTAAGAGCTGTGTTTGATGGAGTCCAATAAAAGGTTTTTTTTTATCTCTACTATTAAGGCCTAACTAACCATCAAGCATGATCGCTTCATGGTTAGTTATCAAGTGTTTGTATTTCCCATTCAAGCTACAGTTGACCACAGTAATCTGCTAGTGACCTGCTAGTGGTGCCACGCCCTCTTTGCAACCGATTTATCCTAGCAACTGTCAGAAATTACTCGCTAACTGCTTAGAGGTTACCAGGCGGTCACTTATTCCACTGTGATAACAGGCTAAATGTATAATAAAAGAAGTTTATTAAATGTGTAATGAAAGACGTTTTGTGATATTTAAGGATTTTTAGTATTTAAAGTTTTTGAATCATTTCACACAAAAAACGAATATTGAAGAAACTGCTTTCATTTGATCCCTTCAGTATATCTGACAAATCCTGATTAGCAGCTGTAAACCAGGTAAAACTGAAAGTGAACTAAGCAAGAACGTAGGCAATTATTCCTCTGTGGGCAGGAAAAGTACTTTCTCTTTCAAATAAGTTTGACTAATCTGGAGATTTGTTAATACGATTGTCTTGTTCTTTTGCTCATTTCGCTTCCCCGTGGACTTCTGTCGCAATGTCATCACACTGACAGATCGCAGCAATTAACTTGGTCAGAATAATTTTTTTTTATTACAGCTAGAACTGATGTTTAAAATGACAAAAAACAGCAAGACGGCTGTAATAAATCTGAATTCTCCCTGAACAATTTACAGCCTACTTAAATATGGTGTAAATGTGAAACGAGCAGCTTCAATTTTCTGTTCAGATTATATTTTACTTTGAATGTGAGCAGTGAAAGGCAGGGATGAGATGACATGAGCTGATGGAGCTAATGACAGAAAAAATAGTCTCTCTTTCATGTACAACCAATAAAATTAACTCCCTGACTCTTTCAGTCTTTCTCTCTCTCTCTCTCTCTCTCTCTCTCTCTCACACACACACACACACACACACACACACACACACACACACACACACACACACACACACACACACACGCACACGCACACACAATCGTAGTGACAGTCTAAGCTGACACACTGAGTACAGCTCTACTACTGCTGATCCCCTGAGTCTATTCTCTCCCCAAGGGAGAGGTCAATTCAATACTGTAACCCCAAAGACACGCAGAAACCCACACTTACACACCTCAATACACACAGAAAAAAGCAGTCACCTGCACACACACATCCACACCTGTCTCCGTTCCTTCCATCAATCAGCCTAGCTGTGTGTTGACAGGTTATGTCTGTCCACAGTCCAGGTAATCTCAGGAGCCTCTTTGGGGAAGTGAGGCATTAAGCCGACCTGACAAACTATTTAGTCTCACTCAAGGTTTCAGACGCCCTCTTCTCCCCTTTTGCCTCTTCTTGAAAAACTCCCCTTTCTTTCATGTCTCACCATTTTCCTCATCCGTTCCTTATCCTTTCTTTTGTATCCAAGGCTCTCCCTTCCCCTGCCTTCAATCTTAAGCCTTTCAGTGTCTCCTAATGTGCATCTTGTCCTCATATTATGTGTCCACTCATCCGTTATCATAAACTTCTGTTACAGTCTCTCTGCATTTTTTCCCTTTTTGCATGCTCTACTGTCAGCTTTCCTCATCGTGGCATCCCCCCGTGCATATACAGCACCTGCGTGCTCACAAACACAATGCACTTATTTCTGTTGTACTCTCTTCATCTGCTTCTTTTGTCTTTCTCCACCTACCTTGCATCTGTCCTGCCTGGCTGGTGAAGAGACTGGAGGAGCAGCCGATTTCCGTCCCCAGGAGAGACCCATAATCCTGCTGAAACACTGGGGACAGAGGGAAGGAGGGAAGGAGGCAAAAGGAGAGGTGAGGAGAGGAAAGGGTGGGGGTATGCTAAAGGTCATCACAGCATGACCTCTCTCACCTATTGACCTTTTAAACCATCACCTTCTGACCGTTTCACCTTTAATCATGACCCTGAAATGGCTGCTTAGACAATGACTTTGACACCGACTGTTTTAGCTCAGGGTTAATGCCTCCTCTTAAACACTAATGCGGAGATGTAAAGACAGCATTGGGATGTCTTTCAGAAACACACATCAATGGTTTGGGAAGTTAAAGGAAATGGATGCTGCCAAGATATCTAAAAACATTTGGGGGGGGGGGGGGGGGGGTAGGTAATGCTTGCTGCTTATTAGAGTCCCTCAGATCAACACTGGTGACTCTTTGGGACTAAATAAGCTGTAACTGTTTGTTGCTTGGGCAAGCAAACAGCTAAGATTCTAATATATTATATTACTAACATCATTTCTTTAGATTAATTTTTAATCTAAAGGTGACTGAAACTTAAAACAATAGGTGGTCAGAGTCACTTTCCTCCATGACACCTATATATATTTAAAAAAAAACAAACAGTTAATTCAGTTCATTCCTCTCTTGCTATATCTGTTCTTCAGATCATTCACGCCAAAATTGCCTGTCATTAAAAACAAAAAACCCTCTGCAGACTGTCTGCTACATTACTACAAAGAATGAAATGTAATGCCATGAAAAAGATAAATAGAACAGTATTAGAGAGGGTGGAAGTGGGATGTAAGGTGGAATGTGATGAAACTCCACAGAATACGCTACAATAAACAATATGGGATACACCAACCTAATAGGCTGGGGTTAGGAAATCTCCATGATTCATTGTACGTTGAATACTGCGGATGGGAATATGGACTTCCGGAAAAATCTCCCCCTGTAGGAGAACAGAAAACAGAGACACAAGACATGGTTAAAAACATTAAAGGACAGGGAGGAAAATCCCATCTTGGTTTGGTTTAGGTGAGGACTAGCACAGTTTTAGATAATATTCAGGATATTATTCTTATCTCGTTTGGCAGGAACACATGCTTGTGGAAATACTTTGCTCTCTGAAGCTTTAACCGGCTTCTTGTGTTCAACAGAATATTTTACAGACTAGGTGATAGGGACAGAACAGGAGAGCTCGGTGCGAATGTAGTGGTCCTGCCATACAGTGGATGATAGTGTAGCTTTTCTCCCTCATTTAATACTTACTGTCTGGGGTCTACTCTTTCTTTTGCCTTCCCCTCCTGCTTTTCCCATCACCCCTTCCTCTTTATTTTTCTCTCTCGTCCTCTGGCCCGCCTGACTGCAGCCCGCCCGTCACCCTTCACATCAAAACAACATTCTCCTCCATTTCTTCTCCTCTTTTTTTCCTCCACATATCTCTGTTGACTTGCTCTCTTTTTTCACTCTTTTGCTCTTTCTTTTCTCCTGAACCTTCACTCCTCCCAGGGGATCCCTCTCCCATAGCTGACAGTCACAGACCCTGATGCCCCCTCCCTCCAACCACCACCCGTTCCTCCTCTCTCCTTCTCGTTCTGTCGGTTCTGCCTCACTGCTCTCCAACACCCCCTCTGAGTGTCAGCCCCCCTGCTGCAGAGAGAAAGACAGAGAGACAGAGAGGGAGAAGGCGAACAGCAGAAGAGAGTTGCTTGCTTAATGAAGGTATGATATTAGACAGAGCGAACAAAAAGGAGGATAATTTGCCTGAGAAGTGCTGAGATAAAACGTGCCGGAGCTGGAGAAGCAAAGTTTGTAGATTATCTCCTCGACTCATTCCAGTCAGCTCATGGATTCGTGCAGCTTTAAAAATGCACTGAGAAAAATTCAAATGCCTGCACTGTTTGTGTGTGTGTGTGTGTGTGTGTGTGTATATATATATATATACACAAAACAAGTTTTCTTTGTGCTAGTGTGTGCATTTATGTGTGCGTTTAGCTGCGTCTGTCAGGTGGGGTCGGGATGTTGTCTCCATGGCATCCGTGGGTGCGAACATCCTCTCCCTTGTCATCACCGTAGTGACGGCAATGTGTCAGGTTGTTTAGGAGACGAGGAGCGGAGGGGAGAGAGGAGGGGAAAGAAGGCTCAGGGGTCTCCCTGGTGTAGCTCAGTGTCAAGGTCGCGCGCACACACAAACACACATACACACAAACAAACACAGCACACGCATAAACATCCAGCAAACCAAAAACACGCACACACACAAATATGCTGTCAAACCTGAGGACAGGACGGGGTGAGCGCAGGGGGACAGGGTGACAGGGTTACCCATCTTTAGACGTGTTGTTCCTACATGTCCACTGAGAGTGTGTGTTTCTGCGTGTCAGTCTATATGTGTGTGTGTTTGTCACAGACTGAATGATTGGGAATACAACTTGTAAACAGCATTGTTTTTTGACTTTGCTTCCCTCCCGTTTGTGTCTCTCCCTTTATTTTTCTGCAGTGTATTTCACACTGACCACGACCACCACTGCAAGTCTGAGAGAGAGCGAGCGAGAGAACAAGAATAGCGGCTTAGGATTGAAACACAAAAGCATCGTAGAAGGCGGAGTGGAAGGGAATGAATGAATTAGTCGTGGGTCACTGGTGATTCTCATTAAAAACAAATTACTAATGTTGAGGAGGGACAGCTGTGCTACTGTGGCTGGTTTCTAATGATACACACACACGCACAGACACACACGCTAAAGAGAAGCGCAAACACACAAATATATGCACACAAACAGACACACGCACCACCCCCTGGGAGCACTGTCACCCACAGTGTAGACAGACAAGAAAGAGGAAGTGGTGAAGCTAAGTACAGCCTCTGAAAACACACACGCTCTGACAAACATCCAGCAGGAACTTAGAGGATATGTACGTAGAGATGGGTTGACATCATGTGTGGCGAGAGATGACACAGCTATGTACATTAAAAGTAAAACAGCTTTAGCAAGTGTGCATTTGCCATTACTCATTTTGTGGTGACAAGTCTCCACTGTGGGAAGAAAAAGTAAGTAAGTTGTAAATATATTCATTTCAGTATGACCTGCTTTTAGGGTTAGGTTTGAGGCAGTGTTGCATACTTGCATGCTTAGAGAAGGTAAGTCTCCACACATCAGTGTAAGGTGATGGAAACATGACTGTGTGTGTGTGTGTGTGTGTGTGTGTGTGTGTGTGTGTGTGTGTGTGTGTGTGTGTGTGTGTGTGTGTGTGTGTCTACTCACCAGGTACCATTCCAGTGAGGGAGGGGGTGGAGTAGCTGCCCTGTCCAGTAGGAGGGACATGAGGAGGGTAGCCTGGCAGAGTGGTGCTGGCTAGATCTCGACCTGTAATCAAACACACACACACATTTGTTGTCATCAGTGTCTTCCTACTATAAGTGCTATTACACTGCCCTGTGTCAAAAAATAACCTTTCTACTGTTTTCCAGAAAATAATTAATATTACATAATTCACTGATGCTGAGTTGAAAATGGCAATAAAATTATCATCACATTTAATTTTCTCACAAAATGTGAATCCATTTTTCGCATAGGGCCCTTTTTTACTCATTAAAATTCAGCTTCTTTAACACAATTCACATATTTTTATAGGTTTCTTTTAACTGGACAGAATAAACAATTGACATGGATGCAAAGTTACTGCTTTTGTGCAGTAGGACAAAAGGCTGGCTCTGGAGCAACCTGGATCGTGCTCACAACCCACTGCACCCAAAAGATCTTCAGCATCACCAGAATAAACGAAGTCATCATCCATTAGAAAGAATGGAATAAGATCCTTCTCACAATGCCTATAAGAGGAAAGTCCGGTTCCTGGAGCCAGGTACTAAGTCATTTAACTCTGACTAAGTGAATAACCGGGGGACAACTGAGACACTATAAGAGATCTTCAAAGTCTTCATCACTACATTGTTGCAGGCAAAACATCATCAGACTCCTTTCTCTCATCAACTAAGCCATTGCTGATACCAAAGTAAGCAAAACATACCCTTTTCTTTCCTTCTTTCCTTCTTTCTTTCCTTCTTTCTTTCTTTCCTTCTTTCTTTCTTTCTTTCTTTCTTTCTTTTCTTTTTTACAAAAAACTGTTATTTTTTTGCTGCAGTTTGGATGTAGTGAAGCTTCCACGGATGCAGCAAAAAACATCTGGATCATGGTTGGCACTTATATATATATATATATATATATATATATATATATATATATATATATATATATATATATATATATATATTAGGGGTGCAACGATATTCGTATCGATATTGAACCGTTCGATACAGTGCTTTCGGTTCGGTACGCATATGTATCGAACAATACAACACAACAATACAATACAACATTTGTAATTTATTTTATCAACTTTCCTTCTGACGATGCTGTCTGTGTTGAGCGCTCAGTGAATCTGCGTTCGACTACTCCGCCTAGGGTCAACAGTGCAGCCTAGGCGGAGTAGTCGAACGCAGATTCACTGAGTGCTCAACACAGACAGCATCGTCAGAAGGAAGAGCGCAGGGCAAGCTAGCAAGACAGAAGTTAAGCTCTCCTTACAACATGGACCTCCCCCACCCTCATTCAGATCTGGCGTTTGGAATTATTTTGGTTTTCATGTGACGTATGATCCTGAAGGTAAGCGAGTCATGGACTAAAGTAAAACAGTATGTTGGATGTGCCATGCAATGCTCAATTACATGGGTGGGAGCTAGTGTGTTAGCGCAGTTAGCTCGTTAACGTGTTGGCCGTCTAGCCCCATGCACGGGCGATCGGCGGTAGCTAGTTAACGGAGATTTGCCGTGTTGTGGCGTTAAGGTCATTTCAACGAGATTAACCTGAAAGCACTAGTGGGAACACAACGAATATGACTGCACATTTACGCCGACATCATCCTAGTGCAAAGACAAGTGGAAGCAGAAAAAAAACAAGCAAGCATGCTACTAACTTTAGCCGAGTCATTTAGACAGCTGTTTAATATGCTGCTGAGAATATAGCCCAGAAGAAGCGGATAGTATAGCTTTTATTTTGGAAAGAGACATTTCTCTGTAATAAACTCTCTTTTCCAAAGATGAGTGATTCCTCAATCAGATACAGGGCTCGCAATATCGCTAGCCCGACGTCCTGGGGCTAGCGATTTTTTTCAGTCGGGGTACCAAAATCTATCTCTGCCCTGCCTGTCGGGCTATCGTAGGAAGAAAAAATATATGTCAATGCTTTTGCATTCTTTCAGAAATGTAGCTGGGTAATTATGTCATTGGCATCGGTGAGCCACTGTCAATATGTGACATATTTAAATCGCGCTTGAATTTGCGCTTGTTTTTTTGCTTTCACTTTGCAATCGCGCGAACTGTGTATAGAGAGCGACAGCACTGATCTGTGAGTGATGATAATTTGCGCACCAATTCCTCTGACATCGTCTTATTAATCGTTAGCTTACTATGCAAACATGACAAGTGAAATCTCCCGCAGCTTAAACATGTGAGAGGTTGATCGCGCAGAGAATCGCTGAGCTTATGTGAGTGCGGCAGGATATATATTTCACTACGATGACCTGGATGATTGAGAACCTTCACAGACAGATATATATTTTAGTTCTGCTGAGCCAAATAAGACAGGTCAGGGTGAAGAAGTGACAGCCAAAGAAAAGCTTACCACAAAACGGAGAAGTTATGACAAATCAGACTATAAGGCAAAAAGAAAGTGCAGCTTTATGGTTTCATGGACAAAATAATTTCTGTGGCTGCAATATGACGAGCTAAATAACCAGGGCTGCACATAAGTGGTCCGCAGGTGCGCATTCGCTGTCAAAATAAAAAACACGCACAAGGGTTAGGGTTAAATTCAAAAACTGTACTTTTGAGTTAAAATATATATTTATAATTTTAATAAATGACAAATTAAAAAGGCATGAACATTTTTTTTGTATCGAAAAAATATCGAACCGTGACACCAAAGTATCGAACCGAACCGAACCGTGAATTTTGTGTATCGTTGCACCCCTAATATATAACACCCAGCACGCCCCTGCGGGCGGTTTATCCTTCAAGCTCGGGTCCTCTACCAGAGGCCTGGGAGCTTGAGGGTCCTGCGCAGTATCTTAGCTGTTCCCAGGACTGCGCTCTTCTGGACAGAGATCTCCGATGTTATTCCCGGGATCTGCTGGAGCCACTCGCCTAGCTTGGGAGTCACCGCACCTAGTGCTCCGATTACCACGGGGACCACCCGTGGTAATCGGACCACTCATCACACACACACATATATATATATATATATATATATATATATATATATATATATATATATATATATATATATATATATATAGGACAGTTACAAGTACTTGGGGATCCCGCAGGCGAATGGGAACCATGAAGAGGCCGCTAGAAAAGCTGCAACCACCAAGTACCTGCAGAGGGTCAGGCAAGTCCTGAGGAGTCAGCTGAATGGTAAGAACAAGATCCGGGCCATCAACACGTACGCCCTGCCCGTGATCAGGTACCCTGCTGGGGTAATAGGCTGGCCAAAGGAGGAGATAGAAGCCACTGACATAAAGACAAGAAAGCTCCTTACCATGCATGGAGGGTTTCACCCCAAGTCCAGCACCCTGAGGCTGTACGCTAAGCGGAAGGAAGGAGGCCGGGGACTGGTGAGTGTCAGCACCACAGTCCAGGATGAGACAAGGAACATCCAAGAATACATTAGGAAGATGGCCCCAACTGACCGAGTGCTCAGTGAATACCTCAGGCAGCAGAAACCCAAGAAAGAGGAGGGAGACGAGGAACCATCATGGAAGGACAGGCCCCTGCACGGTATGTACCACCGGCAGATAGAGGAGGTGGCTGATATCCAGAAATCCTACCAGTGGCTGGACAAAGCTGGACTGAAAGACAGCACAGAGGCACTAATCATGGCAGCACAAGAACAAGCTCTGAGTACAAGATCCATAGAGGCTTGGGTCTATCACACCAGGCAAGACCCCAGGTGCAGGCTGTGTAAAGATGCCCCAGAGACAATCCAGCACATAACAGCAGGGTGCAAGATGCTAGCAGGCAAGGCATACATGGAACGCCATAACCAAGTGGCCGGCATAGTGTACAGGAACATCTGTGCCGAGTATAACCTGGAAGTCCCGAGGTCAAAATGGGAGATGCCCCCAAGGGTGGTGGAGAATGACCGAGCTAAGATCCTGTGGGACTTCCAGATACAGACAGACAAAATGGTGGTGGCTAACCAACCGGACATAGTGGTGGTAGACAAACAGAAGAAGAGGGCCGTAGTGATCGATGTAGCGGTTCCGAATGACAGCAATATCAGGAAGAAGGAACACGAGAAGCTGAAGAAATACCAAGGGCTCAGAGAAGAGCTCGAGAGGATCTGGAGGGTGAAGGTAACGGTGGTCCCCGTGGTAATCGGAGCACTAGGTGCGGTGACTCCCAAGCTAGGCGAGTGGCTCCAGCAGATCCCGGGAACAACATCGGAGATCTCTGTCCAGAAGAGCGCAGTCCTGGGAACAGCTAAGATACTGCGCAGGACCCTCAAGCTCCCAGGCCTCTGGTAGAGGACCCGAGCTTGAAGGATAAACCGCCCGCAGGGGTGTGCTGGGTGTTTGGTTTATATATATATATATATAAATTGAGATTTAAAGGAAAATTGATTAAAACCAAACTGCAAAATCTTTCTCACAGTGATGAGGGATTTCAATTAATATCACTTAATGAAAAGGGTAAGCAGTGTTTTTATTTTACTAAATCCTGCAGGAGCAGGGCATCCTTTTTTCCTTTTGTTTCCTCCAGTCTTGTTTTCCATCTCCTGGCATCTATTAATTTACCAACTTCCCCCGTCTCTCGTTACCTGAATCTCCCCTTCCTTGCTTTGTCTGTCACTTGGTGGATAGGATATATAACTGCATTAGACTTCATGACAGTGTGTCGACCCAAATAATTTCTCTATGTTTGCGCGCAGTAGACACTGGAAGTGCGTGGAGAGGGTGCCCTCCATTCATCATCATCATATACACACACTCAACCACACACACATGCATCAACACCCTCCTCCTGCCCCCTGCACACACACATTTATCATCATCATAAACAGCTCGGATGCTAACACCATCAATCCCATTCACTTCCCTTCCACTTAACCACCACTAACTAAGTGAGGAGGAGGAGGAGGAGGAGGAAAGGGGAACAAGGTGGGAGAGGAAAATACAGAATATAAAAAACAAGAAGAACAGAAATAGCAAAAAGCAAAAAAGAGCAAACAGGTACGAGAATAAGAGAGGAGGGATATGTGCTAGAAGGTCAACAGCTGTAGTAGATAAATATTTGTTTTCATGAGACAGTGAGTGAAATGGTTTGGACATATGACCGGGAGGGTTAGTTGATATATTAGAAAAAGGATGTTGAAAAAGGAGCTGCCAGGCAGAAGGAAAAGAGGAAGATGAGGCAAGGTGGTTGACATGCAGAGGGTTGGTGTGGCACAGGTGGAAGCTAGGGACAGGGTGAGATGGGGACAGATGAATGGCTGTGGTGACACCTAAAGAAGAAATTGTTGAGTAAAAACAATATCACAGTATTAGTTTTCTCCATCTCCCGTATAAGTAACCATCCTGCACTCAAAAGTATTTTAAAGAAAGTATTAAAAGCTTAATTCAGTCATCCGGTATGGCAACCTGGATTTATAATGTCACAATCTACTATTTTATTTATATTTTATTTAGTATTTTATAAACTGCCTGTACATTATATTTGTTTGAAATTTATGGTTCATACATTGAATAAAGACTCAAGAACATAGACTGTACAGTAAAGATGGACACAGGAGATTGGCATGAAGTGTAGCCAATGCTGAAATGCTTTAAACTAGCAGTACCGATAATGACCAGCAGAGGGCAACTCCTCAGGTCTGATTGTGTAGAAGTGTGTAGAAGAAAAACATCCCATCGTTCAGTTTATTTATTACTTTTTAAAATGTTTTCCTCACAAGCTTCAATTTTTAATAGTATTTTTCGATACAGCATGATGAAATAAATTATGATCTATTCAGAGTACAATAACCAATAAGCAGGATGTGCTTTAGGGATTTGCTACTCTTGAATTAACAATTCAAAACAATGTAGACCTGCAGTGTGGTTTTTCAGTCAGATCTATGCCTTGCTTCTTTATGAGTTACACAAATACACATCTGGTCAGTTTTGTGTTGTTTTTTGTGTGTGTTTTTTTGTTTGTTTAGTAAGTTGTTGTTTATCCTATTTAATATCACACTGAATAACCCCTAACCCTAATCAAGCTAGCAACTATTGTGAGCATTAGCTTAATAAAGGATCATTTTAAAAGACCAATAAAGAATATGAAACTGCAGAACAGCAGTCCACACACAAACAGGCAAATTCTAATGGCTAAGCCAATGTTACGTAAGTGGACAAATCATTAATTGTAAAAGGTCCTGCTCTGGTCAAACAAAATTCAGCCAGTAAAAGCAGCACACTTGTTTTAGTTTGAGTATCTTAGAAAAAGCGGAGCAGGAGACTGGCAGATGCATTAGTCTAATGTCTGCAGTGATGCAGAGCCTATAACAGGATGTTGTGGAGAAGAGAGTCGAGCGAAAAGCAAAGCTGTGGGTAGTCAATGAAAACTTGAGGATGGATGGATGGATGGATGGATGGATGGATGGATGGATGGATGGATGGATTTTATTGCAACCCATCAAATATTTGTTGAGCCATTTCACTCAACACTATTTAAAATATCTAGTTTCATAAATAAAAGGTCTGAGATCAAGGAAGTTGAATGGCTGGCAAACATTGTCATGTCTATGGATAATGTGGCCTCCAATTACATTTCAGCAAGTATACATAGATAAAAAATCCCAACTGTACATGTTCCCATGCTAGGGAAAGTGGACAAATGGAGCAATAAAAGAAAAACAGCATTTATGGTCCTTATCAGCAAAAAATGAACATCTTAAATCCTTTCATTTTTCTGTCCTCTTTACTTCCTATTTCCTTCTGCACCTCCCTCTCTACTTGTGTTTCTCCCTCACATATTGCTTCCCCACTCCAGCCTCTATCTGTCCCTCCCCGCCTCCTCTCTCCTGTCTCGTGTAGTAAAGTTTTTCTCTGTGTTTGACGCGACAGCGAGGCATTAGTGCAGACGGGCTACTCATCCGCTCAGGGTCAGTGCACAGGGCAAGGAGGAGAGGGAGGAGAGGCTGAGAGAGAGGAGAGATGGACTCTCTACAGCCCAACTTAGAGGGGGCAGACAGGACCAGATCCTCTGAGGTGTGTATGCATGAGTGTGTATGTACACGAAAGTGCACACAGCGTATTTGTGCATATGTTTGCCAGTTGTATTGATGTATCTGTTCTCCACAGCTTTCCTGCAGAGGTCAACGAACAAGTACAAGTCTCCTCCACGCTCACTTGCAGCTACAGATGAACACACATCCTCTGCCTCTCTTACTCTCATACTGTCTGCCTATCTAACTCTCCCATTTCAGCCAGCCATCAAAGCAACACATGTCAAATCTGGAGGGATCAAGCGGGCACAGTGTGTGTCCCTTTGTGTGTTTTTGTGCTATAGTAGACTGGGTGAAGTTCAGGATAAAATAAAATGCCCTACAGATTTGGAAAGACCTTAGAATTGAGGGATGAGAGTGTGAGCGTTGCTCTACAGCATGTGTCCAGTGTATCACCACTTCAAGGATGCAATAACATTGCGTCAAACACACAGACGTCTGATCCCCTTAAGGGAGCTCTATTCTCAGGGAAAAAACAGGCAAGGAAATGTATGCATAATATTCAGAAGGTGTGTGTGTGTGTAACAGAATGTGTGTGTTTGCATGCACAAGCAGAAATGGAAATTTTGATCTTGCTCTCTTTTGCTCATGCTCTCCGTGTCTCGCTCTTTCTCTCTTCCAACACGAGCAGGTAATATTCCTCAGTGGTTTCAGGCGGCAAAAACGAGCCCATTCCCAGATATCCCAAATTCCCAGCTCTATGATTCCCCTCATTACAGATGGGAGCGTCAAAGCCTTGTCCAAGTGCTCCCTGGTCTACTCTTAATTAACCACTGCCTCTCCCAGTGCCCCTAAATGGAAAAGGAGGAATAGATGAGGCTCTCACTTTTCATCCATCCTTCCACCTTTCTTTTCCTCCTTCCCTCTGAGTTTCCTTCCTCCTTTGAGATCCAAAGCGTTAAGCTCTTTAAGCCCTGACAATTTTGGAGCTCCTGCCACTGCTGAGGTAGACTTAAAAAGCCTTTACTTTACTCTCTGGGTGTGTGTGTGTGTTGTTTAAATACGACTGTCAGAGCTCCAGCTAAAGCTTGACTCTAAAGTATAAAACACCAGAGTTTTGTCTTCTGACTAAAATATTTTATGGAATTTTTATGTGTGAATTATGGGATTGTGCAGCAATAGGTTAGCAGTTTTAATCCTAAAACTAAACAAACCCAAGCAATCTTTTAATTCTCTCTTTAAAAACAACAACAAACATTCACATTTTTTTCGTGTAACCAAATAGGAGGGTAGTAATTATAAAAGAATTCAAAATCTCACTCTTCATAGTACACATGCACTACTTTTTTAGTCTCTTTCATACATTAAATATCCACAACAGATCATTCCTCTAAAAGGCAAGAGCAACATGAAGAAAAGAAATGTGTACAGAAACTGATTGGAAACGGGTCATTACCAAGTGAAGCTGAGGTTGGAAAAAATAACTGAGTACAAAACTTCATGGAAAATTAACATTTATATGAAAACCCTTTATTTAGTCATTTCAAAATGTCTCTCAGAGGTGAAGTTAAGATTATTAGCTAGGTGTAACTTTTACCTGGAACTAGTGAGTAGGACTGTGGACCAGAGACGCTGGCTCCTAACTCTGCCCCTGTGCCCGGATTGGCCAAACTGTTCTTCATCTCATCCAGTCCTCCTGCTAATGAAGCCATGGCTGAATAATCTGACGTCTGGAAGAAAGGAGGAAGTAAACAAAGGGTAAACTTATTAACAAAAATCGAAAACAACAAGTACATGTTATGAGGCTAGCTTGTTGTTAGATCTAACGCGGATGCAGTGTTTGTTACATCCTGCTACATTTTCAGCATGCTGCACTTTCCTCAGAGCAGAGAGCAAAAGCGCTTTAGAATGAACACAAACTCACAGACACACACAGACTCACACGCACATACAGAAACACACCTACAGCTGAGAGTTTATTGATCTGTTTACAAAGACAGGGATTTACTGTACAACCAAGTCCAACAGTCTATAACCACAGGATCAGCTTGCTCTTTCTCTTCATCCCTCACACACACAGGATACATAGACACCCGTATATATATCCACACATAGCACATGGCATTACATAGACCACGGCTAACACAAAGCCTCTTGTCTCCCCAGATACCAACAACAATAAGAACTGTGATCATCTCAGCACACCTACACACGTTCTCCCAGTGGTGTTAACCCAGCATACACACACGCTGCAAAAACTTAAAAAGCACTCAGAGAAGGCTGAAGTGACAAAACAATATGTCACTGTCTGAATGTGCAGTTTCTTTAGAAACAAAATAATATTGAAGTTTAAAAAAAGGAAGGCTGAAAAGAAATAAAGAAACATGTGATAATGTGATCCAAACAAAAAAACACTGCAAAAAAACAAAACAAAACCCACAAGCACATGAAAGGAAATTAGCTTAACTAGCAAGACACACAAAAGAAGAAACCCAGAAAATACAACAGTATGCTCGTACAGTACACAAATGTCAAATAACTCACTGTCCACAACATGGGTTATGATCTTTGGATCATACGGACACAACTTTGAAAGAGGTCTTTAATAACCCAGCCTGGCTGAAAGGCAGTGAGATGGGTGGATAATGGAAACTGTCCGCTAACCTGTGTTTGACCCCAGCACAGAGTCACGACCCATCCATCCTCATTTCTCTACTAGACAAGTGTGTGTGTAATTATGTGTGGTCCAGACATTACTCATCATGCAGGGACTTAAATCACTGTACACAGTGACTTACTGGGGACTTACCTCTTATTGGGACAAAATCCCCGTCATGCAAATGATTACATTTTAAGGTGAATATATGTCTTTTTTGTAGTGTTGGGCAGGTAGGTAAAGGTTAAAGTCATGTATTGACCTCTGAAGTCAGAGATACGCACATTGCCGTGTGTGCAATAATAATATTAATAATAATAATAATGATAATAATAATAATAACGAAGGCTGTGCAGAAATTGACACTTTAAAAAAAAAAAAGGTTGGCTCTCAGCATCAGGGAGTTTAAGCTCATCTGTTCCTTAAAACGCAGAAAAGGAAGTAACATCATAAGTAAGTCAGTGCAGAAAAGAGGTGCACTAGAAATAAAAATGTGGGGCTTACAATAAAATATTTAAGTCCATTCCTTGGTGACTTTGAGACAAGTGATCATATAAATAAACCTTGTATTACAGCAACAAGCAAATGCAAGCAAAGCATACAGGCAAACACCATTCATTACTCTGTGGCCACAATTAAGACTGTGTGGAGTAGTACATTCAGTCGTTTGCTCATTAAATCTGTCTGTTGTGTTAATTGACTACTGCGAGGTAAGCTTTAGCTCTTTTTTTAGGTAAGAGTTCATGTCACATGAATGTTTCTGCAGCAGCGTTTTTAACCGGAAAGCCATAATGACTGAGCTAACTAAACTGCTCTCAGTCAGCTTCAATTAATTTGTGTATGTACTAAACAACCCTACTCACAGTATTGGAAAAGAGACACATATTCATCCGGAGTTCGGCAATTAAATATAAGCATATAGTGTATGATTATTGAGGGGTGGCTTAAAAAAAGCTTAGTAAGTTGGTCATTAAATTCTCCTCCTGACTGCATTTTGAAGCACACTAGACCAACACACTGAACCTCAAACTGTTCCCACTGTACGAGTAAATAAAACTGAGCAAATGAAATATTGCACTTTATCGCATGAAATTCCTTCTGTAGCTTTTCCTCCCATTCAGTTACTACTGACCTGTGTGTGTGTGTGTGTGTGTGTGTGTGTGTGTGTGTGTGTGTGTGTGTGTGTGTGTGTACACTAATGACACCAATCAGAATTTCCTTTAGGTGATGAGGTGAGAGTTTTGCACTGACCCTTTTAATGCGTCTGCATCTGTGTGTGTGGAGGTGTAAGTGTAGGCGTGTGTTTGTGCTCACTGACCTCTTAAACACCCCTGTGCTCGTCAACACACAACACAACCACTGGACTGTGACCTGCCAAATAAGAGCTTACGCAGTACACTACACACATCCTCCCTCACTCTCTCTCTCTCTCTCTTTGGACTTCAGACACACTTTTAAGCTCTCTTTTCTCTCGCACATCAAACACATCACACACATCACACCTGTAGTTTCTTCATCCAATCATATGAGCTATCACTGCTCAGCCGCCCTCCCCCCCTTTCTCTTGGCCGCTCTCTGTCTTATTATAATGGTGTCTAATGTGTCCATGTATCCGTGTGTAGATGGGGGCCAGGCAGCAGCAGCACCAGAGAAGAAGGGGTCTGCCGTGGTAATTGGCCATGATGAAGTTTGGCCAGTGGGGTGACAGGCCTGCTAAGGAAGATGGATCATTCTCATTCGCCCCCGTAAATGTTGTCAATTCCACCGCTCATACAGCGCCATCAGCCCTCATCAAAGAGGAGGGACGCAGCTGCCGGGCCATGGAGGGGTTGGGGTTTGGGGTTGGCGATGCTGATGGGGAGGGGTTGTTCGGGGCAAGATGGGAGGAAGCAAGTAAAGGTGGCAGGAGGGGGACCTGGCAGATATAAAGGGTCGCTATAAAGAAATAATAAGGAATAAGGAGGAGACAGGAAATGGGGCTGAGATGGAGGGAAATGTTAATCGATTGATAAATTAGTGGGATAGAGAAAAGAATGTAGAGCAGGGCACTCAGCAGCAGCAGCATCCCACCAATATATGGTAATACTGAGAACTTGGTCATTTTTAGTTTTTCTTCTGTGACCAATGAGTTAAAGGATTTGAAGTTAACTAACTCACAAACTTTACATTGCTTTGAATCCTAAGTCTTCACATTCTTGGATCTGTCACCCAAAGTGGACTCCCAGGATCAAATTTCACTTCATTACTCCACTAAAGTTACACATCATGGACGGCACTCACTGTTTTCAGCGTTTTGTTTTCATTTTATATAAATGCAGCATGTTTTTTAGGGTATAACATACACAATTTCTCATTGGTTGATTATTGCTGTCTGCTTCGATGCATTTTCTCCTTTCTTGTTTCGTTAACTCTGTCCTCTAAAGGGTTAGCAGATAGCAGTCCTTTATCATAACACTTTAACTCTTTAAAAGCAGCTGCACTAAGTTTTAATCTCACTCGTTCTATCACTGTGTCTCTTCCACGCAGCAGCTTGGTCTGCTGAGTCAGAAATGGGACAGATGTGCCCAACCCAGCCAGAGACACACGCATAAACACAAACAAGCACACAAATACACACACAGACCGGCCCTTCTGTACCATTTGCATAATAGTATTTCCTATTTTCACCACTTCCAAAATAGCTCGTGATTTCTCCATCTCCTACTCTCTCTCTCCCATTCGTCACATTGGCTTGAGTGCTCCTGATGGAAAATTGCTTGACTATAAACAAATACAATTCCCTGAGTGGCCCACAGACTGAGACAGGGATTGTGGGGAAGGAATTTATCTGTGCTCAAACTGAGCGTGGCAGCAAGGGGAGGATACTCATTTCCAAACAGCTCCTTATGAGTCACGGGGCCGCTGTAGGCCACATGAGAGGAAGTTTTTACATATTTTATACTTAATTAATTTATCTAAGTGTTGCAGTTGTTTACTGTTATACTTCTTGTATGCATGATTTAAAAAAAAACGTTTAGTGTAGTGATTACACAATGACGCAAAGTCTGCTGGGGGGTTTTTTTTTTTCAAATTTGAGCAGCATGGTTGATGCGTCTGATCACACTTAAATAGTTTCAGTGTTAATAAAAAAATGTTGTGGCTTTGTGCATCTAAATCCAATCTTCACCTGAAAGCTACTTTTAACTGCATCCAGACGCCCTTTCTGTTACAACCCCACAGAGATTTGTGTCTCCTCCTAGAAACAAAAAGTGTATCTTTTACTTTTCAGTTAAATGTGTGAACCACTACACTCTGGAGCCATCAAATTCAATCTCTAACTGCACTGTGAAATTTCCTACAGGATACTTTAATAAGCTCATGCTATAAAGCGATGAATTTAGCGTTATTTCTAGTTTCCCGACTACTTGTTTTCTCTTGATTTATTATTTGTTGTGTGGGGAAAACATTCTGCGGTCAATGATGAGACGAACTAGCTGAAATGACCTGAGATGCATTCTTCATTTTTGTGTTTAGTGCAGCAGTAAAGAGTAGACAGGAAAGAGGGGAAGACACAAAGGGTCAAGGGGCAGATTCAAACCCGGGCCGCTGCATTTCAGCCACAGGGCATCTGAGCCAAACTGGAGCCCAAGATAGAAATCCTTTTAAGTAAAGAAAAAAAAATCTATAATATCAGTCTCATTTTTCTCCGTCCACATCTCAGTGTAAACTGCTTGGTACTGGGGTGGGCGTTTGGACCCAGGGCAGCACGGATGGGCGGGGGTGCTTGTCAGCCCTGCTGATTTATCACCTGGGTAATAGAAAGTGATTGAAGGGAAATTCAAATGAACTGTCTCTGACAGGCACACATGCAGACACACATACGAGCACGCACACATAAATTAATAGCGGGGCTTAATAGACTACAGGGTGAAGTGGAACAAGAGCAGGAGAGGCAGATGAGATAAAAGCAGGGCTTGTTAGGAAAGAAAGATAAAGAAAAAGGTCTGAAATAAACAGGATAGACGAGTAACTACTGCTGACAGATAAAATAAGATTTGCTTGCGAGCGGTATTGCTTTTGGTCTCTTCAAGTGGGACGAAGGAAGACAAAATAATGAGTAAGCCTCATGTTTTAGTGCAAGAAAGCTAAAAAATAATGAGGAGCTTGACGTAACCACTGAGATTACAGTTTATTAGTATAACACCTGAATCTGAGCCTCTTGCTCTTCTGTCTTTACTTTGGTTTTCACAGTTTTGGACACGTCTTTGTCCGATGCACACACACTGACACGCGTTTCGTAAAAGACGACCCCATACAAAACATCACCAGCAGGGACAAATCTGTCAGGAATGTCAGTCGCAAGGCAGGGTGACCCCCCTTGACCATAACCCCACCAATAGTGGTTACTGTGCACACTCACGCACACGTGTACACACACCTCAGCCCACATACCAAAGAGCCTAAGCTGTGGCTGTCAGCGTTAAGGCTAAGAGTGTCAATCATTCCCAGTGGGAAAAAGGGGGGTTAGCAGAGGTGGAGGACTAGATAGTCATGTAGATTTGTGTGTGTGTGTTTGTGTGCATGTGGTTGTGATTGCTTGGGTCTCTTTGTAATGCACTTCTTGAAGCCAGTTTGACCCCAGTTTGATTCCCCTATCCCAGACACCGACCCCAGTGGCTTGACCAGGCTCAGACAGGACACTGACCTATGAATCATGGGTATTATAGTCTTGAGTCCCAGTCTATAGAGCTACTACAGCCAATCCCTGTCGACCTCTCGCCCTGTGCCACTCAAGTCCCCATGTCGGTCAGAGGAAAGAGAATGGACTAAAAAGCCAAACTCTGCCCTGTAGGTCTAAGGCTGCAGCCTATTTATGCTTCCATATACTCCGACTACTCGGGAGTTTGCTTGTACTCTTGCCCTTGGCACTGACTGAATAAATAAACCAGAAGCAGTGTCAGCTTGAAAGCTCGCTGAAACAAAAATTTCATTTTGAAACATTGGCCAAATATTTCCTTAATATTGACCGTTGGGCTGCTGATTAGAAGGCATCTGAGAAAAGGTAGAGAGAATACAAATGCTAGCTTGTTGTCATTTTGTTATTCAGCATACCACTTACACCTGTCTATTCCACTCAGATTTACATTAATTTACTCCTGAGAAAGGGCGGGAGGTCAATTTAGATGCAACATTAGGACACACAGACACACCCTTTCTCGCTCTCGGTTTTCTTGTCTCGTTTTTTCTCTTTTTCTCTCACATGCAAACGATCACACGCATACGCACATTCCCAAGACGCATCAGCATGCGGACAGCGGCACTGCCGTCCCACCAAGCAGCAGGAAGTGAGGTCATAATGAGAGTCGGGTCAATATGTTCATTAACCCCTGTAGTGTGTCTACATTATAGGAACATCAATAGAGCAGGTCTGACTCATCACAGTGTCTATCAGACCAAAGAAACTCACAGCGGTTTGTCAAGCCAACAGTGAAAACACGACTTGATGCTGACACTTTGAGAGCTCAAAGCAACATGAAAGAATTGGGGAAAAGACAGGATGAGTGAAGCGCTTGGATAGAGAGAGAGCTTTTTAAAATGGGATTATTTGTTGTGCAATGTGACAGCAGTCAGCAACATTGACATGGCATGGCAAGGCATAGCAGGCAGGCTTTTTTTTTCTAAAAACAGAGACAAATATTTTATACGACAGTCAGATAAACCTTAAATGTTAACTGATAAACTACAAACTAATCTGGCTTCTGTACTATGTAAATCCCAAAATAGTCCATTACATTTTCAGGTTTCCTGCCTTACATTTTTTTCACTATCAGCAACAAAAAAAAAAAAGAAATTTGCACCTGTGTCCACTGGAAAACCCAAATAACTGTCATATTGGTGGCAGTTTGAAACTCCTGCACACTGTCTCTTTAAACGATGTGACTTGTGCCATTCAACAGTTTTGCTCTTATTGATGGAAAGACCAAAAACAACAATGTGTTAGTCTAGCGCTGTTTGCTTTAATTTTGTTTGCATGTGTGGCACGCAACCGTTGAGCATTAGTTCTTGGATGTTTTTATTTGGAGATTCCAGGTTGGTGAAAGTAGGCCGTCTTCTAATCAAAACATATACCCTGGTGTAAAAAAAAGCGTATGCTTTTTTATATTCTGCTTATTTTTTGTCAGAGATTGTAAATAAAAAAAAACACACGTTCTGAAAAGGATGAGAGGCCCTTTAACCTCTGTGCTGCAGTTACACCTACATCCCAGGTAGGCCCATGTATTATTTTCTTGACTATAACCAGAGGTTGTGAAGGGCCACGGTTAGCGGGATAAAAAAATGTATGTCTTTGAACGAGGACAAAGCACTTGTTAGGGGGGAAACATATTTGTTGCTTTGGATCTTTTCATGGTCTTGTAAACAGTAAGAAAAAAAATGTCTGAACTCAGCGAAAAAAGACTTACAGTATAGGATGGCTGAATGGCTGTTGTGCTGTGACAGTGACTTGAAGTACACTGCTGTGTCTGGTGGCCGTGAGGTGATAACACAGGAACCGCCACTTCTGCTTTAGTCAGCTCCTGTTTGTTTTTCATGAGCGGTTATCTCCTGTCACAGCTCCTATTTTTCATTAGCCCACAACTACATTCTTGTTGACTCCTAACCTCTTCCCAACCTCAGCCTCAGCCCAGAGCCTGCACGATGCCTCGCCCTTACCTTGCCAGAATCAGGGCTCACATAGAGGTCAGAGCTGGACTGGATTGGACAGGATGGCTGTCTGTCAAAGAGGCGGTCCAATACCTCGATCTGCTGTGGCGAGAATAGCTCCCCTCTCATCTGCTTCCTGAGGAAGTCCCGCCCACTGTGGCCGTGTCCATTGGCCAGCGGTGACTCCTGCAAACCTGCACAGAGAGGACAGGTGAAAGGAGAGGGGTTAGACAGGCTGTAAATGCAGAATTTTTAAGAGAGGAATGATAACTGAAAGGGAGAGGAAATGAGCAAGATAAAAGGAAGCTTTTGCGAGTCTGGTTTATGTTATGGAGGGAAAACCCAGACAGACAGCGATAGAGGAATGAAGGGAGTAGTGAAAGCGTGTGTTGACAATATAAATCACTAAGACAGATGTGGAGAAAGAAGTTAGTGGACTCAAATGAACTCCAGTGAACTGATTTAAGACTGAGCGACTTCATAGATTGTGGAGGCTCAGAGAAAATGGTATACAAATGCAATCCATTACCAAGCATACGCTGTCTCTCCTTCTTGATCTCTAAAAAGTACACTCTCTCCTCTCATATATACACACTTGTCCGTCCCCTCTCGTCGTATCACACATACACACACATCCACACAAATATATATTGCCACGGTATCAGTATTAGACTGTGAGCTCTCGTATCCTGCAGTTATTGCAAGGCTGAGGGACTGAACGAGACAATTATAAGAACTCTGAAGAGTCGCGGCCCACAAATGATTAGAGAAGAGAGAACGAGAGAAAAAGATAAAGAGAAAAAGGGGATGAGGGTGAAAATCCCCACTATAGAGCCAATTCAGCGTTCCAAACCACTCCTGAGAGCCTATTTTAGTCCTGGGGGTCACTGTGTTTAGTGTGTGTATGTGCGTGAATGTGTGTCCAGGGTAGTGATATGACAGACAGGTGGAGAGGGGGGAGGGGGCTTCAAATATATATATATATATATATATATATATATATATATATATATATATATATATATATATATATATATATATTTTTTTTTTTTTTTTTTTTTTTTTTTTTCCATTTGGAGTGAAAATACAGATTCATTTGCACCAGACTAGTTCTAATAAATAAAAAAACTGAAGAAAGAAAGAAAAAAATGTCTGTCTAACCATATTTAACCTCAAGGGATGCTTCCTGTTTTGAAATTCTGTAGTTGTGGATAACTTTTAATACCACTACATGTAGTTACTGAGACCTGTGCTACTGCAGGGGAGACTATATTCTTTTTATAAAGGTTTGAGTGTTTGTTAAAATGTAGTATTTCAGATTTAATGACTTCAAAACTACAGAAGTGAGTTTTGCTAATCTGATTGTATAAGTCAGTGAGAATTTTAAATTACTTCTTCTTTCATTTATGAGCAGGAAACATTTTTCCTAATGACTTTGTGGTCTTATTAACTAGTTTTCAAGTTTTAATTGTATTCATTTTGTTAAATAGTTGTTACCCATCTGTATAAAATAGATGATAAATCAGAGTATAATTCACTTTGTCATAAAGAAGTAACTGAGGTTTCAACTAAGGACTGAGCTGAGACAGTGTAGTAATCTATAAGAATGACAGGTTTCCTCTTTAACATAGTTTTACTTAATCTTATTCATTCTTTATTTGTTCTAGTCACATTCCTAAAAACATAATCTAAAAAAGGTTTTACGACATAAGCAAGAATTACTGGTTTAAAGCAAAGATGCAATGGGTTTTAAGTAAGCAAGTTTAGCTAGATTACATTGAGGAAAATAAGGTGTTTTGTGAGTATACCTGAGGAGTCAGAATTAATTGATCCTTTGTACAAGATAAGAGGATTATGTAAGTGTACATTTTACATCCACAGTAGCCTAATAAGGAAACTGACAGTTTGTTTGTTTGTTTGTTTTTTCACTTTTTCCGTTGTTTTGGTTCATTATTTAAGTGATCTCTGTGCACATCCAAGAGTGACAGGCAGAACAAAGACTATGTTAAAACATTTGGTAGATTGGCATATGGCACTGTGACGATATAGAGGTTAGCACTTCTCCTCTAAGCAGGAGGTTCTGGGTTTGAAGTTGTTTGTGGGCTGTGGCCTTTCTGTGTGAAGTTTGTGTGATCGCAATGTGGCTGGATGGATTTTTTCCAATAGTCTAAAAAGTTTCAGGTTAAACTGGCTATAGGTGTGAGTGCAAATGCACCAGGTTAGACTGAAAACCTTTCATGGATGGATGGATGGATGGATGGATGGATGGATGGATGGATTACAGTCCCAGAGTTGTATAACGGTACCAAAGCTGGTTGCAAAATGTTTGCTTACAGTTTGATGTGTGTTAGCTAAATTTCAAAAGTTGATAAAAAGGATCAGTCTTGGCACAACCTGTGGCTTTGGATCAATTCAAAGACTTCTAGCAAACCTTTAAATCTTCAGACAGTATCCTACAGTGCTGTGTCACACACTAAACCTCCCTCTACATCTTCAGTACACAAAACCCTCTCTCACAAACAGAGGTTTGATCATAATCTCTCTCTCTCTCTCTCTCTCTCTCTCACACACACACACACACACACACACACACACTCATATACAGATGCTGGGAGTAGTGTGTGTATGGTCCAGGTCTCCGGTGACAGACCAATCAGGGTGGGAGATAAAGCCAGTATGATGCTTTAGCCTGGTAACCCAAGGCAACCCATTTAATCCCACCGGCCAGTCCCCATGATGGAATTCAATTGATCAATCATGTAGCTCTGATGGCACCATTTCAGCCAGCTTATTGCTTTCTGCTTTCTCTCTGTTGCACACACAAACTCTCTCATATGTGCGCAGACACACACACACACACACACACACACACACACACACACACAAATGCACCCTGAAAGACTGACCTGTGTCTGTCATGGTGGAGCATCCACAAAGAACCAGAGAAAGACAGAACAGGGGAGATGACAGAACCTGCTGTAATCGAGCAGTAAGAACAAAGCTTTTACTTATGATAATCAATATTGTTCATTCATCTGTATGAAGTTGTGTAAAGGTGTGTGTGTGTGTGTGTGTGTGTGTGTGTGTGTGTGTGTGTGTGTGTGTGTGTGTGTGTGTGTGTGTGTGTGTCTGTCTTGAGGTGTGCATGCATGGGCCTTGGTATGGATGTGATTGAGGCTGTGAGTGTGGGTGGGTGGGTAGCTTGATATCCGGCTGGTCTCATTGTATCCATGGATGGGTAAAGAAACTCATTGCCGTGACGGGTTAAATCCTATTCACTGTTGGATGCGCGCACACACGCACACACACACACAAACACACACACACACACAGCTGCCTCTATCTCTGTGATTCAGTCTCAGAAGGGAAGCGCTTCTCTTCCCTCTTTTTCAGAGCAGAACAAAACAAACAATGAGCCCTTATTGTTCTCTCCTTTCTGCCTTTTTCCTCTCTCTTCCGCCTTCTCTGTCTGTCTCTCTCTTTCTCCCTCCCTCCTGCCTCTCTTGCTCTCTCTCCATCACAGTCGTCTTCCATAACAGCCTGCTGCTGCCATTTTTCCCAAGAATCCAGAAGCAGTTGAATTATTAAATCCAAATACCCTAAAGAATTAGATGAGTTGTCACTTATTTGTCTGTTTTCCTGCCTGCTTATACATGCATGTCTGCAGAGGTTAGAACACCACCAGTGTGCTCCTTTTTGCTCTTGACATAGATAATCATGCTGATAGCCTAAGTGTCACAAGTCTGACCTCACAGCCCCAGCTCTTCCCTGCATGTGTGTGTGTAATGATTTTTTTTTGTCTGTGAGAGTGTGTATGTGCCTGATCCAAACTCTAGAGATCAAAGTTTTTGTAAGCCGGGAGGAGCTACGTGCGAAGGGCGACGATCCCCTCCCTCCACCCTGCATCTCTTGCTCACTCCCAGCATCTTTTATTTTGTAAGCTGCCTCATGTCACAGTGGATGCACAAGGGGGTGAGAGGTCAATCTGGCATTCTGGGTAAATGCCATTGAAACTATTTGTTGTTATATTTTGAAAAATGTGCATGACTTAAAAATACTGAGAGTGGATTTCCCCTCACAGATTTGAGGAAGAAAAAAACAGCACTCCCTTTAGTGACCGGCCCACCTGTCCTGAACTCCACATGCATGTTGGATGCTTGCACACACACACACACACACACAGCAGCAGCAGCAGCAGCAGAAGCTTCAATGTGTAAAGTGAATAGGTTAAGGTACAATAGTCCCCTTTTGGCCCCAAAAGTCAAGTTCTTCCATTCACACCCATTCATCTCCTTTCTGGCCCCAGTCACCCCCAACTTCCCCTCGCTTTGGCTGGGGGCACAGGTCACCACAGGGTTTTACCCCCACAAACTCCTCCTACCAACACACAAGAACACATACATACACAACACAAGCTACTGATCCCTCCTTCCTGTGTTCACGTGCACAGCAGCTGTTTGATATGCTCATGGCTAACAGTTTCCATTGCACGCGTTGACGTCCTCACAAGCACATACAGCAGATATGATATGCAATAATATGATATAAAAAAAAACAGCAATTTCATCACAACAAACTAAGCATCATTTCACTCATACTGCGCACCTTGCAACAGATTAGGATGGCCAGACCAGCTCAGCACCAGAACTACTGATTTATGTTTTACCAGTTTTAAAAGTCAATGGCCTGGAGAACACGTTCTAATGTAGATGTGTTTTTAGCAAATCGAGGGGGCAATATTGTTGACCAGATGGCAACAGTTCAATTGAGGAGTCAGTGGGGTGCCTCTTGTGAGCTAGAATATCATTTGCTTTATTTATACCTCTGTCTCTGTAGATACATTCCATTATTGAAAACATAATATTTTCCACAACACATTTAATTCAAAGAGTAAACACAATCTGCTGCAGGAATTGAGATGCTGTGGACACCAGGGAGTGTGGAGTTCAACAACATGTAGCAATGAGAGACTAAATAATTGGTGGAGGCACAAAATGAGTTGGTACCAAGTTAAAATTCAACTTCATGGGGGGTGATTGAGTGAGACAGATGCAAAGAATACCACTGACTGATGTGAGAATTATGGGAATTAGACAAGAGGTTTACCTACACTAGCAAACAGCCTGTCAGCTACAAAACAATGGATGAACCACTCTGTATGTTTACTGATGTTGGTACAGTTTACTGGCTATATTGGCAGAGTAGCAGATGATGTAGTGGGACAGAATATTTTCAGTAACAACTTGTTTTTTGTGGTCAAAAGGTTTCTTTTGTTCAGTTTATGTGGTCACTCCACATGCTCCAGTATAAGCTTATGGCTTAAGCACATTGCGAAGCAATTTGTAACTAGTTGTACTGGTTTATCAGCAGGGTTAGTGGATTTAATCATTAGGAAAAGGTATAACTTCTCATACCAGTTTAGGAAAGAGTCAATGGCCACTGTTAATCCTCTCTGTCACGTAGGAGGCTCACTAAAAGAGTATGGGCTGCATATGTAATAAAATGCCTGTTTATTAAGCATGCAGACCATGCCGCCTTAGGATCATCAGAGGATTCAGCTAACATTAACCTGCTCTAATAAATGAATGAATAAATAAAAATAAGAGCTGCAGTGTGTTTGGGGATTTTTTACACAAAAAACTCAGGAAAATTGCAACAGACTGACTCAAGGCTCCCCCCCCCCCACCCCACCCCACCAAAAAATGGACCAATCATTGTTCTAAATGCGTTCTGAACTACACAAACTGTCACATTGCTGTATGTGTGATATATCCACCTGTACAAAGAGAGACAGACAAAGTCAACAAAAGAGCCTTGGTGATGTCCGGTGTGTCACTGTAGTGTACTGTGGGTTTATGCCTTCCTTCTCCGTGTGTAAGAATGTCTGCAAAGACGGGCATATGGCCGTGACTCGTCGTCAGAAGCTTGCCTTATTGTTTGCCTGTGTATGTGTTTGTCTGTCCATGTCTGTGCATGCTGTTCCCCCTGTCGCCCCTTGCCGTGTGTGTGTGTCATTATCCAGCGGGGGCTGCTCTAATGGAAGCTGTGATTAGCAATGCTGTTAATTAGACCACAGAGCCAACCGCGCAGACCTCTGGCACAGAAACGCTGCAGATAAAACACACAAGCGAAACGTGACACGGAGAGACATAATGCTCGAATGATGCTTTCTGAATGCTTCAATGAAACGAGAAGTGATACAATGTTTCGATTCGAACTGTGAAATGGAAAGTCCAGCAGCAGTCATAGAAAACCGGCAGACAGACCACACATGTAGCACATGGTGTAGTGTGTCATGCACATAAAGAACAAAGTGAAACAATAATACCGCTAATTAGGCTACAGATACTTTCCTTCAGCAACAGATCTGACTGCAGAGTTTCTGCTGAAGACAATACAGCACAGAATGGGGTGGATTAATACTTCATATTATTTATGTCAAAGAGGCATGGATGAAATCAGTCAGAGACCAGTTTCACTGTGGCCGTTCAGACTTATGATCACTAACACAGGTGAATCTGTTAATCTTTCAGTCTTTACTCTGTCAGTGAGCCAAAATGTGGACATGACAATCACTGTGCTCTGTGCAAGTGCTCTGATCTTATTCAAGAGCAGCAACTAAAATCAGAGTCCCGTCAAACTTAGTGTAAAATTTAACCGAATATATCTAAAACATTTGAATTTGATTTGTTTCTCTTCAGTTCTGTTGCGCAGATATCATACATGCACATCAAGGTAAGTCAAGGTGTGCATGCGAGATAACTTAATGAATACGAAATGTGGAAAATGTGAGGGAAAATTGCCATTTTACATTTGTTTCAAGTGTTAATGTGAGAAAAGGCAGTTTCCTCATCGTGTAGGTTCTTTGTCTGCCCCAGTTTTTAAAGTCTAGAGTGTGTCTCAAGCTTCACCGGGTGTTTAAGCCTGCTTTTAGAACACTATGTCACATTTTGCTTTTATGGATACACCAAGTCTTCTACCTCAACCTTAACTTTGTAACATATTTTGACGTTTTATGCAGTTGCAACAGAAAGACGGAGGAAACCCCAACCAGCGGATGATCGCTGAACAGGATGAGAGTGCAATTTGTTGTTATTTTGGATTGAGCTAAAACCTCATTTATCAATGGACAAACTGTTCACATAGTAAGTCAAACTTTGATCCAGTGTATCAATGATATATGTGTGCATGTCTCTATGTCTGCGTTGGGTCTAAAGTCTTTGTACTCTACTGATGGTTAAGTGGGCTGAATCCGAGCATATCAAGGTGCACCTGGGATTCACCTGGAACCTGCTGGAGTGTTCTGAAAATTCATCAGCAGTGGGAAAAAGGATCCCACACTGTATCTGTGTGTGTGTGCGTGTGTGTGTGTGTCAGGGAGAGAGAGAGCGAAATAGCCCCCAGTGGCATTCTGTCACCCCCTCTCGCTCCGACATCTGGTCCTGTCTCATTTACCGTAGGAGACCGTCTGTGTGATGGCTTTTTAATGCCACTGACACCCCCCCACACACACACCCCCACACACACACAATCAAGCAAACACGTGGAGGCATATCAGCGTACACAAATATATACATCCAGTACCTATGAGCACATACACAAGCTTGCATATACATTAGCACGCAACATTGACCAAGTATGACAGAAGTATATGATCGATAGTGCGTGCATGAGCTGGCCTCTCGGGTTGCTATCCCATGAAACACTGTTAGTAAATAAATCTGCGTTCCTCAATGAAGATATTTTATTCACATGTCCCGTTGCTGTTGCTTGTGTGTTAGATTCTCGTGTGCCTTGTGCATCCACCAGGAAAAATTAGCAAAGTGGGACATATACAAAGCATAACTGTTTGCTCACCTTCATCCCTCTTCCTCTTGCCTACATCAGCAGCTGAGCTGATACCCAGAATGCCGCTGATGGAGTACGAGGAGCCGGCCGAGTCGCTGGTCACTGCTGAGACCTGTGTGGCTGGCACGGACGTTGCTGCAGACAGATCACATGACAATGCCAACACTTTAAAGGATATACTGAGAAAGCAAAAGAACACCCAAAAAACAGATGACTGAAATGAGGAATTACTTAATCTCAGAGTCGTATTGTAAAATAAAATGGGGGAAAGCACAACACATTTATTGTGTTATGTGGACACTTACTCTTGTAAGCTGTGTGATTTTATTAAAAAGGCATAAGTGACTCTTTAACTCACTGAAACATTTGCTTTCAATAAAACAATTACTTATAAAGAAAAGAGTGTATTTTTTAAAATGTTCATGTTTTACTTTATGATCACATCTCAGATAAAATGATAAGAAAAAGAAGACAGCAAAGTGTTTTATGAATTTCTGGCTGTTGCTGAAATATCACAGACTGTATATTTTAATGTACTGTGTCACAAAACTCTATAAACACTCACCAAAATGAACTGAATCCAATATATTTGCATGTGTCTTTGGATCTCATTTGAAAGCACAAATATTTAATTGAAAATAAACAGTAAGCTATAGTTTTTGTGCACAAAGCTCTTTCTGAGAAATTCTTCTGTGTGTCTGTGTGTGCGGATGCCTTTCAGGCTTGAAAAACAACAATCAAGTGTCCTTATTCATATATTTGTGGCATGATTGCCACACAATATAAATCTTAATTATTATTCTTTTTTAAAAAATCAATAAAAGTCCATTTTTTCTCTCTAAATTTCACTCGGTTGTATCGGCTAAATTGAAACTAAAGGAAAAGACACAAAAGACCAGCCTCTGTTAGTGTTTTGCTCTTTGTTGTCTCTTCCTTTAATCTTCCCCCTGGAGGAGACAAGTTCTTTGCCGGGTGACACAGCGACATACTTGTCACCGCTTCAGTAACACGGACACACACACGCATCCTGCAACCTCCTGACACGCAGGCACAGGCTTAAACATACAGTCGCTCACTTCTTGGTCCCTTATCTGTACCCCTGTAAGCGGACGTGGGGCTGAGTGACAGTATGGTATCCCAGGAGGGACAGAAAGGTGTGGAGACAGACATACTAATCCCCTCTCCCAGCAGACCCCCCAAACAGAGAAAGACAAGACTGAAATGGCAATAAAGAAGAAGGAGGGGGTAAAAAAGGCAGGTAAACCAGAGGATCAAAGTCCCTTCAAGCCGTTACTCTTTCGCTAACGACAAGGAGAGTATAATGAATGCATATCCCTCCTATTCCCATCACTTGATTTAGCACTTCAATTATCTGATTTTCCTTTCTCTTTCTTTTCACTCTTTTTTTTATCAGAACGTAACGCTTTTATTCTGCAAATCCAAATGTTCAATTTTCCGCCTGGGAGTGGGACCCATTTATCTGTGTAATCTGTAAGCGTGTGCGTGTGTGTCTCACTGCATCTAGGGTGTGTGTGTGTGTGTGTGTGTGTGTCGCTTAAATGTGAGTAAAAGGCAGGAGTCAGGGAGCAGTGTGTGTGAAATTAATTTAGATTAATAGACAATGTGCGATTATGAAGATATGAGAGACTCTGAAACACAATCCACTGCAGGGCAAAGTGAGGAAGAGAGAGAAAGGCTATCGTATCTGTGTGTACGCTGCGATATTCATCGAATAAAAGGAAATAATGTTCAAGCCATAGATGCCACAGATATAGTCTTTCAGTGTCTAACAGGATAATTAACTGTATACTGACAAAGGTTACGGGTCCTTTATTAAAAATATATAATGAGAACCTTCCGATAAGTCCTTTAATATTTGTCTGGTTTTGGATCTCATCCAGCTGCACTTAACATAATTTTAACTCGTGCTAATCGAAACTAAAGCAAAAGTTTACCTGTTGCTAATATACTCAAACTTATTTTCAAACTACTATGTTGCTCAAACAAAACACAGCTGAATTAATCTGACAAAGGGGGCAGAAAGCTGTGTATCCTTCCCCACTAATCACTGCTTGTAGCAATATGGATGAAAAAAAATGTGTTTATGAATATGCATAGTGTAAAGTTTGGTGCATAGGTCACAAGAAGTCCATTAACCTATAAGTAATAATTTGGTGATGTAACTGAGAAACCGTAAATATGATCTTTTCTAGCCCGTGAGAATATGCCTCACCAGGTGCATCCTCGCTTTGAACTTGAATATCATTGTAAATAATCAATTTCCAGTCATAACCTCCAATAATCAAAGAGTTAAATGCTTGCCAGTGTTGCTAATCTAGTACCCATTTGAGAAGGAACTGATAAAGATCTCTAATGCTTTGATATTACAATGACTTGAGCATTTTTGTTGACTTATTTATGAAACAGTTATATTTAGGATGACATGGTTTCACGCCGTGGATCCCTTTGATTGTTGTTATTGGGACTATTGTACGTCTTAATAGTTACATTGTACACTACTGTAATAATGTTACCAGTGTGCTTTCGGTTACAGTCGTCATAGCGGATGGGCCAAGAATATGAAAGCTTAATATGTAACTGTTATTTTATATCCAGCCGGTCACCTTTGTTTGATCGTACCCTACCTTACTCGTTCTTCAGTCAGCTCTCGGTTGGCCCAAAAAGGCTAAATGAACCTGACCATCACACAAAACTCTGGTAAAAAAGAAACAAACCCTAAACATACTTCTTACGTGGAAAATGACAATCTAAAGCTGACTGTAAGGATGCAATGTAGATTTGGAACTTTGTGGCACATAGCATCCTGTCTTCACACAGGTCCAGAAACTCTGTTTTCTTGTTCAGCACAGAAGATCCTCTCCGGAGAGATTTTACACAAAAACACTTCTTTTGTTAAAAAAAAAAATTGGCTTTGATGGCTGGAAACAGGATTTTCGAACAGCAACCTACCTAGGTTGTGAGCCGACACTGAGCCCGTTTGACCAGGCTGCTGCTGAACCTTAGTCCGGATGATCCTGCAGGAGGAGAGAGGGGATATTAGTGTGTGTGAAGTGGTTTGTGTGAGTGTGCGTGAGAGAGATCCTGAGTGACAGAGAGAACATGACCATCGTGGGAGCAAAACTGTGTATATGTGTCTGTGCGTGTGTGTGTGTGTGTGTGTGTGTGTGTGTGTGTGTGTGTGTGTGTGTGTGTGTGTGTGTGTGTGTGTGTGTGTGTGTGTGTGAAGTGGCTGAGGCAGGCTGACATGGCAGAGGGGCCTCACACTTCCTGCTTGGCTGCTCATGCAAGCCTTTTCTTCCTCTTTCCTTTCCTTTTTCTTCCTTTCCTCCCCTTTTTTCCTCTCCTCTCATTTCCTTTTCTCCCTTTTCCTTTCTTTCCTTTCCTTTTGTGTCTGTTTCTTTCCTTACCCCCACACACCTTCCTTCCCTTTTGTCTGCCTCTTTTGCTCACTCCTTCTCTCTCTTATTTCACCATCCCTCCCTCTCTCTCTCTGCTTCTATGCTCAGGGGAAAGGGTTGTCATTGTACCATCGTGTTGAACCACTGAGCTGCAGCCACTTCATACATATGGAGACTGGGGCCTCTTTACTATTCTCTTTTCCACTCCCAGACTCACACACAGGCACACACACACATAAAACACAGAGTATTATATTGCTCTGAGCTCTACCAATAGGCTGTACCTGTTGCTATACGCCCAAACTCAAACAAACATACACAAAGCATGCAGACCGTCGTACCTGTTAATGGAGCTGACGCTGGGAACACTGTCGTTGTCACAAACTCTCTCTGCTAGGAGCCTGTCCCGGATCTCCCAGGCAAACATGGTGGGGTTTTGGCGTTTGTAATCGGCGATTTTGTCGACCACTTTTGGTGTAGCAACCTTTGGTTTGGATCCCCCAATTACCCCAGGGCGGATACTGCCCGTTTCATAGTACCTGCCAATTAAAAGACACTTGCATTGATCATACGGAGAGGAACGAGAGGACAAATTAATAGAATCATATGGAATATGAAATCTGCAAATTCTGTTTTTAGTTCGTTTTTTTATGCATACAGCTCCTTATTAAAATGTGCCAAATCCAAACCTGAAAAAAAACTTTAATTAAAAAAACATAAAAGAGAAACAAGGCCGAGTTTAGTTGGGTTAAAGTACTTAATCAAGATTGTGCCGCCGCATCTGAAAATATTTCAGTTCAAGTTTCCATCCAAATAAGAATCTGAACATGCTTTTTTTTAAAAGCATTAGGTTGGTGCTCTTCTATACTTTCCTCATTTTCTCAAATATACATCAACAGGTGTGGAGTCAGATCTCGAGGCTCTTCACAGCACGAGGACAGTGAATAAACTAACACAGAGCCCAACAGTGTGGCTTTTTTTCTGTGTTTTTAACAGCGAATGGACAACAATGTAGGTCAGTGGCAGAGAGGAATAAGATACAAATGTGAAGGATTTTTTTAAAATAAATTTCTCGTATCGGTGTCCTTATCCTTTAACTCCTCTTCTTTCACCTATTGAAGCTGAAAAGTGGCCAGGTAATTTCTGTGACAGAATCAAATATGCTGAAATAATTATTGGGAGTTCTGTTTCACTGCTAAATCGAGTAGAAGGGGAATCTAGACTCCAAAGAACCCAGATATAACATAAAGCAGCTTTCTGCTTTACTGCCCCTCTACTTCACCTCTCTTGGTGGTGGTTTGAACATTGCTCCACTTGGACTCAGCTATTTTCCCTTCAAGCTCTCCAACAGAGGAATGACCTTCCCTCCTGTGGTCAGGACTTATTTCTGGATTACACACCAAACATTGGACGTGCTCCTCCTGTCTAAGGTCTTTTTTCCACTCACGATAGACAGCTAACCCCCCCCCCCCCGAGTCTGTCATGTTGCCATGTCAATTAAAATAGTTTTTGTAGCCTGTAAATCTTCTTAGTGTCCAAATTTTTTGATCACTTGTGGTTCTTGTCCTAATTTGCTTAATTTGAGGTATGAAATGGGTGTGATTATTTGCTAATCCTCCATCAGCTGCATCTTTTTTTTTTAATTGAATTTGAATTTCAAACAGAACTTTTTATTTGGGTAATTCTGACAATTGAAACTCCGTGTTGGTTTGGGCTGATCTTTTGATGTGGCGAGGAATCACATCGCATAAAGCAGGGAAGATCGCAAAAACAGCTTCAGTGCCCATGCGCTGCATGGACTTATGAATATTGCATTGCTCAGAATGCAATGAATGTTTGGCCCAAAGGTGGCTCATATCTGCCCACATGTGAATTCAGTCACAGTTCTCCTTAAAATGAGCCTGATGCCAGTTGTGTCATAACTTTTGGGATATTTTTGGCCACATAATACTTTCTAGGGATGTACCTGCCCAACAGCTGTGGAAAGTACCCCAGATGAGGTCCAAATGTGTCTGCTATATAGGCTTAAAATCCTCTTTAACCAAAAAGGTTCTGTATTAAATCGAAATATTGCCGTGGAAATATTTCCTCTTGAAAGCACCTTGAAGATTTAATGATTGCACTGTGTATTTATAATCTGTGTGTGGATAGAGTTTGTATCAAAGACTTTGTATTTATTCACACCGGTCAGATAATGCTGGTCAAATATACTGCAAATTCGAGGGAATCTTTCTGTATATTTGATCCTTTCTTTTAGTTTTCTTTATTTCTGTTTTATTTTGTATCTTTGACTGATTTGCTCAGCTCCTTCTCGCAAACAGAGACTCTGCTCTCGTTGGGATACACCTTGTTAAATCAAGGCGTGCTAAAACCCTCACTGCCAGTTACATAATGTTGCCGATTTCGCTGCAGATGTCAGAGTCAGCTGAAAGGCTAAATGCAATAAGCTCAAACACCTGTCACGCAACATTTTTAGGGCCTGACTCGTCCCGCGATCGGCTTCTGTTCTCTTAAGCAATTTCACGTTATTACGCAGATGCAGGAAGAGGATGGCACCGACACACACACATGTGCACACGGGACGCACTCACACAACCGTTTCATGTCCACCATGGCTATGTCATGAATGTATTTGCATGCAGAAGGGGCATGGGGGGGACAGGGGGTGGGAGGACAGCAAATGCGCTACACAGCTTGCAGAAAAAAGGGGGGATGCTGTGTGTGGATGCAAGCTGTCAGTCAGTCTTAAACCTGCTGCTGCTCTCCTCTCGCCCTCTCTCTCTCCACTGTACGGTAGAGTAATCCTTTCCGTGAAGATGCGAGTTCCTGTAAATGTGCACTTCCTTGTCTTTCTTTCTGTGTGTGTGTGTGTGTGTGGGGGGGGGGGGGGGGGGGTGAGTGTGTGTGTTCCACATTTTTGACTATTCACAGCTGGAGTATAAACACAGCTAAAGGAAAAACAATCTATTTTCAAATGGAAAACTATTTAAATTATTCACAGCTGAATCATTGGTGAATAAATGAGCGTAGTTATTGATATCTGCACAACGATGAGCCAATACACACACACACACACAAACACACACAGGGTGGTGGAGTTGGTGTTTTTGTTCTGCTGGCACCAGAGAGAGAGGAGAGGATAAAACAACCCTCCCTCCCTCCTTCCATCCCTCGATCCCCTCCCCTCCTCCCCCCTCATGGTAACGCTTCAGTGAGTTGAACGGCCAGGAAAGGGGAGAGAGAGAGAGAGAGAGAAAGAGAGAGATAGAGAGAGAAAGACGGAAAGAGAGAGACGGAGAAAGAGAGGCATGGGAGAACAATGAGCAGCACATTTTTTGATATAGCTGAGGGTCGCTGTAGCTAATCCTTCCCCTCCGTCCTCACAAATGGTCTCTCTGTCTCTCATTCGTTTTTCTTTTTCCTGCACTCGTCTTCTTTAACACGCCTTTTCCCTTTTGATTGTGTCCCTTGTTCATGTCTTTCTCCCATTCTCCATCTCCCTCTGTCTTTTTTTGGTGCAGAAATATGGTGCCACTTTCATTTTGATGCTAATTCCAAAAAGTGATGAATCTTTTCCCTTTTGTCCCCCTTTCTTCTCTGAGGGATGGAACGAACAGGGATTTACTCTTGAATTTAGCTTTGAAAAAGGCAGAGGGAGAGACAGAAAGAGAGAGAAAAGGGGGAGTGAGGAGAGACACAGAAATATAGGGGGGGGGACAAAAAAAATACAGGATATAAGGAGAGGGGAGAGGAAGGTGAAAAGCAAGAAAAGAGCAGAGAACCGTGTGAGAGAAGTAAGAAGCAGAGCGAAAATGGAGGCACTTTGGAAAACGCAGCTTGTGCATGTGGAGGAAACTGAAGAACACAGCAGAACTGACACCAAAGGAGTCAGTATGACCTTACAGGAGCTTCAGTCTGACACATGCTGAACCAGCCTGTGTGTGTTCTTTTCACCTGATGGAAAAAAAACTAACCAGAAAAACACAAATAAATCCAACAAGTAAAGGTGAAGATACTTGGTCTTCCACTGCATCGTTTAAAGGTTAACTTATTGTGAAAAGGGATCCTTTAAAGTACTGAATGAGGAGGTTGATGTGTTTTGATCACACACACGAGTGTAGGTGCTGGTCGGCTTCTTACCTGCCCAGTATCTTGCTGACACATCCATGACTGACTCGTAGCTGGCGTGAGATGTCGCACGGCCGAACCCCCTGATGGGCAAGTTCTACTATTCGCTGGCGAACTACATCTGGGAGGGGTCTGCCATTTACGAACACACCTCCAAGCTGGTTCACGCCACCATGTCCTAGAAGAGAATGAGAATTTGAGATGGGCAAGAAGCCAATGAGGAACAACAGAAAGAAATGCATGAAAAATTGCACTGAAATCAAAGATAACCTTGAAATCTAACTCGATATGCAACCAAAAAAAAAAGGACTCAGTGGAAATTAATTACAAAATCCTCTCATTTCCTCTGATTACATTCTTGATACATGGCAGACAGTTGGATAGGCAAGAGTCAAAGATCTTGATGTAACTTTTTCAACACAATCAAACATACAAATTGATCCATTATCCTTATATTCGCATATCAAAGACTGACCAAGACTTGGTTCAAGTTAAAGGTCAAAACAATATCAGACAGAAGAACACAAAAACTTAACAGCTTCACTGTAGCAGCAAAAACCAGCTTGTTTAAGGGCATTTCAGACAATCTTTACACCTCATATCAGCACTAAGGTAGTCTAGTCTGCAGCACAGCAGTTAGAGGCTACTTCCTCTATTTTGGGAAAAGGTCAATTGATTGGTTCGTATATAGTGCTTTTCCATTCTACTTAAACACTCGATGAGCTTTATTTTAATAACATCACTTCTCATTCAGTAAATTGATGCTGGATCTGTGCCATTAACAGCTTGTTTCTGTACATTTACATTTGTTTGCCTGAGAAATAGTTACTTCAGCAACACTTTCTAGGCTGCAGTCCCACAGCTGTTGGCCCTTGGCTTAGCTGGCTTAGCTTAGTTAATTTACTATCTCAAATACATCTGTTTTCTCTCCCGCCTGTGATTTATCCTGCTCAGCATAATAATACTATTCCAAAGTGCAAACTTTGCCCAATTTCACCAGGGGCAGGCTAAGCAAAGATTTTGAGTAAATGAAGGGATTTTAATTAATTATTGACCAAGGCCTTGCCTTGGCCCCTTAGCGAAAGACACCGCTAATATTCCCTCTGAGGGATGAAGGGATGAAAGTACAAGGAAATGAATGAAAGACAGCAAAAGTAGAATAGAAGAAAAGACTAGCTGAACCTTTGCATAATTGAATAAACTTCTTCTGTATCCATAAGTCACAGAAAACCACAGCCGTCTATTAGAAAGTTGCATAAACAGATTTAAACAGCAGCCACAACTGACAAGGGCAAAACTGCAAAGGAGAGTAATTTATATATATGCACATGATCTGTGTCCATCTAGTTTCTTTCAGCTCTCCTATAGTAGAAAATATCCAAGCTTCTACTGACTGGAAATACATTTTGAGCAGGTCAGCAGCATATCACAGAAGATGCACTTAAACAGACTACACCATTTATACATTTGTAAACACCACGCTGTGAGACCCCGTGAGCCGGGCCAGGTCAGAATCCTGGAATTTGGCATGTGAGCAGAAAACAGTAAGAAAGATCAGGACTGGTTCCCCAGGTTTCTTAAACATATGTGTGTGTGTGTGTGTGTGTGTGTGTGTGTGTGTGTGTGTGTGTGTGTGTGTGTGTGTGTGTGTGTGTGTGTGTGTGTGTGTGTGTGTGTGTGTGTGTTTCCCTCCAAAGGCAAAGTTTAAATGAAATAGAAAAAAAATTTCAACCATTTAATCCACTGGCTTTTGTATTACCATAGTGATTGCGTCTTTAGGGGAAACACACACACAGACACACACTCTCCCACACACACTAATCCTAGCTGTGGGGGTAATAGATTTTAAACACATTACCCCAGCAGGGATACCCCCTAAAACACCGTGCTGTCCCCTGAACCTGTCCCCCTGTCCTCAACTTCTCTCCATCAGCATAAAATAAAGGAAGACACACACACACACACGCACTTTCGCAGCTTTCTCCAGCATAAATATAAATAGGTCAATACAGGAGAGATAAATACAAAAATGTGAAGAGTGGAGAGTCTCATTCTGTGAAATCAAACAAAGCTATTTCCAAATGGCTAACGTGGACGGCGACTCGCTTCCTTACTGCTTTATTTTTTTTTCAGATAGAAGAAGTCTCATTATGCAGACGTCTGCTGCAGAGCACAATTTGAAAAGCAATCGCTCTTTATGAAAGACAGGAAAACGCAGGCAGAGTAATATGACCCTGTGAGCTGGGCTCAGCCACAGCTCAGAGACAAGCAGCATGAACTTTACCATCAGCTGTGTTTAATCGATTTGTTATTTACTTTTAAACCTGTTCAATCAAAGAAGTCATTCACCCAATTAGCGCTTATGTATTGTCATTTTTCATATTTCCGCTCTACACGTTTAGTGGATTCATCGGAGGAAGTACTGCAAAGCTTCTGTAGACTGTTTGCTTCGTATAGCATCAGATGTGTTACTATCCTGGGTTTGGATGTCCTAAATTTATAACAAACTGGAAGGACGGAGTTCGGAAGACTTCACAGAGATTTGAATGATGTACTGTAGACGCTACTGAGTCACACTTCATCAAAATGTCAGAGCTTTTGGGAAATTTACTGTAGAACAGAGACTAAAGGTCCCTGTCTGCTCTAACTCTATGAATAAGAAATGTTAAATCTCACCCCTTTTTATTAACTTAACAGTGGATTTGCAAATCATTCAGTGCTGAGGTACCATGTTTTTTTTATGTTCTGTATGCAAAAGGTTTCTTCGTGCTTTCATTATATTTCAGATGGCTAATAATACAGTAATGTTACGTTGAGATATAGCAGTGGCTGAATGAAGAGGACCATTCACCTGAAATAAGAAACGTGTTTTATCCTTGTGATAAGCTCTTCATGAGTTCTTGATGTCTATTATCTATTTTATTTTCCAAAATAAGAATTTGTACCTCACAACTGTTCAGTGTGCTCTGTTTTATTTCCCATTAAGGACATTTCTGGCTTTCAAAGGCTTTTTTCATACTAACGGGTACTGTGAACTTATTGCTCTTGAAAGCATACACAGCAACGAGTCAAATGGAACTAGATTTATTTAATTAAAACATCCAAAATCACAATTTACAAATTTGCTCCGGTGGGCTACATAACTTGAACAACATCATAGCCCCCTTTATCACCCTTAATTCCTCCAGTAAACTTCCCAACCATATGTTTTGTAAAACATGTGAACAGATTTTATGTATTTATCAGAAAATTCATAATCAGAATTTAAGTAGAAGAGACGAGCCTGCTCATAGTCATTCATAGGCAGTCAGTTGACCCTCCTGGAGCCTACAGGGCACCCCTGACCCTACTGTTTTTGTAATAAGGGATCAATTTGTTGATCTACTAAGACTTTACTGGGAATACTCACTGCCCAGTCCTGTACAGCATTCGCAGAGACATCTCAAACACGTACAGTTTCAGATCTTCCTTAAAGCAAGAAAGAGTCAGCTGACCTCCACTGGAGAAAGTCAGCTCTCTGACTCTTTTTTGACATTCTGTGAATACCTTATAAGGTTGTCTAAATGTGTAAATGCATTTCTCCTCCTCCTCTCTTTATTATTATTTCCTATAACCTCTCAAGGAATAAAAGAAGGTTTTTTTCTAGAATGGTTTATAGAAGCCTACTGCGCTACTTCCTCCTGACCAAAGGTATCTGCAGAGAAGACGCTCCCTCGCTCTCGCTCTCCCTCCCTCCCCCTTCCTCAGATAAGAGTAAATGAAATGGTTCCTTTCACCCTTCCTATCTGGGCCAGGGCATGAAATACGCCTTGCTTTGTAAAGAGATGGAGAGGAATGACTTGTGACCTACAAAAACCTCCCGATAACTATTTATTCACTTATCTGTGTATTTACTGTTGGTATTAGGCGTTCAGACTCTCACCATTCTTGGGGTAGGCTGTGTGGATTATGTGTTTGAAATTTATTTTTTTAAGCCCATAAATACTGATAGGGAGAAACGCAAATCTATAAAAGCATTTGTTTATCGGCCTCAGTAGCGTAATTCTCTGAATACGCTGTACAAGTTCTCATTTCAGAGGGTTATATGCCATGTTTAGGCATCAGGCTGGAGAGGTGAACGGTGCTAGCCCAGAGCAAGGCCGAGTAAGAGAACTCGGAAGTTTCTCCTAATTTTAGAAGAAATGATTTCCTTTCTTGTCCTTAAAACTAATTACAGAAGAAACCCGGGCTGATGTTCCCACAGCTGGGTGGGTTTACTGACAGATGCCAGTAATTCATCCCTCTGACCAAGCAAATTAACCACTTGCTCACAGAAATTCAATCAGCAGCTCAGGAGACTTTGTTGCAGAATGAAGATTTTGCCAAATTACTAGCCTTGGCTTTTAAATATCTTTCTACTGAACCTCTGAAGTCTCCAGAGGTGGTGGTAGTGTGGGGGTGTTGGCAGAGACAGCAGCTTCATTTTCACCCTGCCAGGGGACCAGCGGTCATTATGCATCCCTCTTGTATTTTATTTATTTACCCTTTATAGGAGCTGCCTTAAGAACCCAGCGCCACCTTAAACGTTTGATTGATTCACTGTTTCCGGGAGGGGGAAATACAAAGATAAAGCAGAATATATTCGCGCTCCCCCATCCAGAAAATAAGGTCCATTAGGCTCTCTGTCTCTCTCTTCCAGCCACATTCCTCAGTGTCTCTCTTACTCTCTCTCTTTCCCTCTGTCCACATAGCTCTCTCTCTCATCTCTCATCTGGGCCGTCACGGCCTGACGACTCAAAAATAAAGCAAAAGAGAAATCGCGACAAAACGCCACCGGTCCCCTCTCTCTTTTCTCCGCTCCCTGTCTTAGAGGGGGAAGAAAGGAAGAAAAAAAAACAACTAGAAATTACTTTAGGCCGAAAACCTGTTTGGAAAGTCGCCTGCGAGAATACAGATGAAGCAAATTTCCTTGAGCAAACAGTGGATAGATCGGTGAGATGTGCCAGGCGGGCGTTTTGGACGTATAGTGCTATTTTGTATTTTCTTTACGTGAACAGAGGGATAATTAATATTTGGTGGAAGAATCGAGGCTCAAAGAAACTCACAGAGGAAAAAGTCCCCCAAAACTAAATAATTTAAAGTAAACTTCATATTTGCAGCGGACACTGATTATGACGATGGCGTCTGAGTCGATCTGTTGGATTAAGATTAATCCATTTTTTCCACATTTCTTTGCTGTTGTTCCGGCTCAGTGTAGCTCTACATTAGAAAGTCAGATCTATATTTTCTTTACGCTATAACTCGCGAGTCTCTACGGTAGGCCACGGCCTCGCCTACTTAATATTCAGCATGCCTCTATTACCATTACAATGCGTGATTATGAAATTCAACTCATTACCATCACAATTACCTGGTATAGATATTTTAAATATCCCTATTTTATGGTGTTGCTCGTGGTAGAAATAACTCTTTAAAGTTAGTGAGTGCTCAGGCTTGTTATGAGCCACATATGTGGGCTATTCACGTTTCAATCATCGTTATAAAAGTGTGTAAGGCAAATGATTGTAGGGAATGAGATTTTAAGCAAAAATAATAGCAAGAAAAATAATATTAATTATAAGTGTCAGCCGTGTAGGTGAAAAACCTCCGATTTTTGTCAAATAAAATATTTGGGAAAGGCTTTTGGGACGAACACGCACTTGTTACGCCCTCACAATAACACATGAAACTTTAGGATCGTGTGTTATTTCCTCTGCTTTAAATTTAAAAGTCTGTGGCCGTATGCTTCACAGACTTCCTGATGAGGTGAAGTACACCTACACACCCGTTTGCACGCACACACGCACACCAACACTGGCATGGAGCGCACATCCAAACTCTCCCAACAACATTTCCACGCGTCACAGTCGATTCCTCCCGACCTCTCTCTCTCTCTACCTTTGACATTTTTAGGTGTAATCGTTTTAAAGCGTCTCCGCGCTTTGACATATATAGCTTTAGCCCCGCCGCTGCCATCAGCACCGCGGATCATTGGCTTTGCTGAAACGGCAGGGAAGAGGAAACGTGATTCGTTCTAGCTTTTGGATACGTGTGTGCAGCACTTTTTTCTCCTTCTTCTTCTTCTTTTCTTTTCTTTTTTTAAATCCCACAGAGCAACACACCGTGGGAAACTATGTCAGTCACATAACACGGCTTCTCTCCGGGACTAAAGTGCAATATAACGCATAATCTATTAGCCACACGCTGAAACGCTTGTAGGACGCTTTATTTGACTTTTGAGTGTAAAGAGAAAACACAACATGTACTGCCACCGTGCAGCCTGCTGATTTAGGGGGTGACATTTTTTATGCAAATTTGCAAAGAAACCCAAACGAATTTAACAGTTTAAACGTCTTTTTGAGCATCAGCCTTCAGTCTTTACTGCCTAACACTCTAAATACAAAACACTGCAGTAGTTTCAGTGCACACTGTAATAAACCTGACATTTTGCTTATAATTACAGCAGAGGTTTTGTGCTCAAATTCAGAATGATTAATATTAGCAGAAGACTTTCTTCTTTTTTTGTTATCATCACTGTTTGACTCTTTCTTCATAAATACGCACAGGTGCGCAGCAGCACATTTTTGGAGAGGGGAAAATGAACCGAAAAAACAAAGCAGGCTCCGCCATGTCACGACTGAGTGACCAAAAGTTGATCCCCCTCTTTCTGCACAGCCTTCCCCTGCATATATGTGTGTATATATATATATATATATATATATATATATATATATATATATATATACAGCTACTCTGTTGAGGTGTCCTCAAGCAAGACACTGAGCTACATAAAACTGTGTCCTGCTGTGTGGTAAAAACGAGGGCTTAGTTTTTGTAGGTACTCGCATAAAATCTCAAAATCTCCCGGATCCGTGTGTGTGTGTGTGTGTGTGTGTGTGTGTGTGTGTGTGTGTGTGTGTGTGTGTGTGTGTGTGTGTGTGTGTGTGTGTGTGAAGTGCAGTCTAACCTGGTTATGTGCAGAAACACTGCGGTTACTGTTTGTGGATCAGGTTCAGCTTTTAGTCATGCTTTGTTACCCCAGTCTCTCTCTCTCTCTCTCTCTCCCACTCTCTCCCATTCTCTCTCTTTCCCTCTCCCCGACCCTCTCTGACCCCTGAACTTCTTCGCTTCAAAAGAGGGAAGCACAGCAAACCATCTCCCACAAAACATCAAATCCGACACAATGTGCGCAACCTGCATTTCATCACACGATTCACAAATCCCCTCAGCTCCTCATTCTACCCAAAACTCATGTCGATTTACACTTACTTGACATTTTAATATGCACATTTATGAAAAATGATCCAGCTTTAAATTGTAAGAAACAATTGGTAAGGTAAGTAATACAAAAAATGTATAATTTCATAAGATATAAGATTTGTAAATGTTTTCTGTCCATATTTAAAGACTGAGAAAATATCCACATTGTAAAGTCACTTATAATTGATTTTTTCAAATAATAATAAGAAAGAATAACAAGCAGCCTAAAGATACGCGTGCGCAACATATTTGTAAAGTACTTTCAAACAATCCAATATTAAACACTTTTTGTATTTGAAAAAGAAAATGCCTAAAATGTTTGTTTTGTTTTGTTTTTTGAGTTCTCCGAAATCGGGAGCTCCTATTTAAATTAAATAAAACAAAACAAAAAAACACGTTTTCATATGTTTTTGTATATATTCTTACAAATAAATCGACATTTCAATTCTTCGAATTATGATTTTTATTTTTTTTTTTTATTTTTTTTTTTACTCTTTGCTGTTATTGTTGCACATGCACGCAGAGCTGTCGGTCTGGGAGACAGTTCAGTTCAGGGCAGATGCAGATGAAGGAAATTATAAACGCATACACTTACTGTGCATTGCCGCAAACGGGTCGTGCTTACAGTGAATCTCCATCGGAAAGATGGGGCTGGAGGGCCCCAGCGAGCTATTACGAGTCTTTAAAAAAATGCCAACGGACTCCTCGCTTCAGTCGGCCAATATTACTGAAAGACCGTGACCTCCAATGAATGAAAAGCGCCTGTTTCCCTTTAAAAGAGGGAACTTTTTTCTTCTTCTTGATTAAAAAATAAAATACGATGCTGGCAAGGCGACACTTTGTGATAAACTGGTACAACGATATTAAAACATCGAAAATGGAGGATTTGCAGTTGGATGGGGAAGAAAGAACCGGCCTCAAAAATATGAATCAAAGATGGGCCCCCTCCTCATGGGGATGGGACACAACAGCGGGTCTATTCTGGCGTCTCCTAAACCAGAGGAGGGAGACGACGGCGTAAGCTTTCATTCCTTCAGCTTCTCATTATCACCAAGTTGCACCAGTCCCGGGTCGTAAAAATATTGAGGTAATGTTAAAAGTTTTGCCAAAAAATAAAAAATAAATACGCAAAATAAACAAAGTAGCCTTCCCTCCTTTCTCTCCTTCTCGGTCCGCTGGCCGTGACCCCTGAACTGAGACTAACCCGGCGGGGGCTGAACTTTCTCCTCTCAGTCTGTTCAGAAATATTTAAAAAGACAAACATTAAAAAGAGCTTTTAAAAGACAAAAATATTCGTTACAGATCCACTCGCGGCTGTATTTTGTCCCAAGTTCTTTTTTGCACATTGCTTCTTGCGATAAGTCGTCCTCGGTTGCTTCTACTGGAAAACTCGGTTATCTCCCATCAACATAAAAAACCATGAAAGACAGCGGATAAGTGCTCACATCTTGAAGATTCACATCCCCCCAAAAAGAAAAGTAAAATACAGAAAAAGTGCACAGGAGGAGGGTGTGGGGGGACGCGCTCTCCCTCTTTCTCAACAGAAGGTACTGAAGATGACTTGATATCTGTTGCCTTGTTTGAAGGAACGAAAGGCAGCACTCAGCCCTCGGTCACTCTTTCTCCTTCCTCCTCCTTGCTGACCAGGAACCCTGCACAAACGAAGATGCGGGCTTGTGCGTGAGTTTTGATTTCTTTCGCGCCGGAGAAGAAAAACAGTTCTCTCCGAAATTTAAGGGAAAAAAAGATCTACTTTTCTCCGCGCTCAAAGCACAAAAAACGCCACAGACTGCGATTCAAGTCTGTACATAAACGGGCTTCTTTAACTATACAATAGAAAGCTGCCTGCGCCCAGCATCCGCGGTGGCGCACGGCGAGTTTCAGGACCTGGTCTCTTGCGGACAGCGCCCGCGCTCCCAACCCCCTGGAACCCTAACCTACACGCGCCGGCCAGCTGCCCGTCACTCACAGGGAATCTGGCCAATCACAGCGTGAGCGCGAGCCACACGTCACCGCCAGCCCCAGATAGAATCGGGCGGGGGAGGGTGGCGATTGGCTCGAGCGAATCCCGTAGACCAATGACGCCCCGCAGATTTACGCGTCAGCCAATGGTGAGGCTCAGCGAAGGGACGCCCGGCTCGGGGAGTAGATGATCATATGTTTAATTTCAATTAACGAAGTAAAAAAAACCTAATGCCTTTATACCCATTTGCGCTCAATTTATTCATGTCAATATTAAATGGCTAATTAATTGAGTATTACTAAAAATGAGGCTTAGTTGCAGCAGGCTTTTATAAATGAAGGGATGCTGAAGAACTTAAATAGCTAGTGTCCATCTTTCTGTTGCATGAGTAACTGTAGCTGTAAGTGGACAAAAGTAGATTTCATAGGCCCACAGCCTTTCTGGGAAACGCGTTTGAGTAAAAAATAAAAATAAAAAAAATAAAAAACTAAAATAAATAAAATCTTTATATTCACGTAAGCACAGGTCTACCAAAGTCAGAGTGTTTTTGAAAACAACTGGCCCTGCATACTTTCTCTGTTTCCTCCCTCTTCCTTCAGCACAATGCTATAAATCTTTAGCTAGGGGGACAACTGGGAGAAAACATATGAAACATGCATTCCCACTCATTACCTAATTGATCGCGGATCCAAACGGATGTCGGTTTTTACGAAAAGCAATTGGCGAGCTGCGCGTTTACTCACCAAACTACAAGAGGGGATTCAATACGCGCTCGTCCCACCTGATTTGCGAGGGCATATCGAAGCCTCGCTCCGGTAATATTAACCAAGCAAATAGCCTAAAGCATGAGCCAAATTAAAAAGTGTTATTTCCCTTCTTCCTGTGTCTAGACATTTAATCGTTTTGGTGCATATGTGCCGCATGCACATAAACCCCTCTGATTAGATATATTTGTACAGTCATTCACAGACACTTAGACAGGAGGCAGAATCGCACAAGTCATTTCTGCCCGTCTAACAGCATCACTAAGCATGCGGCTTTTGTTACAATCTGTCAAGTCAGTGTCACAATGGAGACCTAAACAACAACCACAACAGTCTTTAGGTTATTCTGCCTACCTGTCAAGCTTATCCTCAAAAGACCTACGAGCTCGATGTACCTCAAGGCAATGCACAGTTATGGAAAAGGTCAGTTTGTGATATGATTGAGTCTATTTAATTTTTTAGATTAGCAGATTTCTTGATTTGCAGTTGTTAGCGTCTTTCCTCTGCTCCTCTCATGATCTGCACTTCTGCTCATTTTAAAGCGCGCATCAGCCCAGAGAGCTCATGTAAACTCAAGTACAGCATAACTAGAAAATAAAAAGTTATCCCTAAAATGAAAAATAACACATTTTGACGCTGTTTCAGAAATCTTTCTGAAAAACTGGAAGCTTGGAGGCTTTGGGCTTTTGCTTTCTGGTTAGACTGGCTCCTCTGTATGGGATGTTTGCGGAACTAACCACGAGGGGGCGTTCAACCTTGGGCAACACCCCCTTACGCGCATGCAGGTGCACACACATACACACGAAGACAAGACGTGGCCTACAGGAACTTTACCATGAACATACCTTAAGTTAAGTCCTCCAAGTAGACCAGTGAAGGCCTAGAAGGACCAAAATATCTCCTAAAACAGGAAGAACAATAATCCCAGCACGGGATTACTGCATATCAAACATTTTCTTTCTTTCTATTCTTTTTTGTCTGTTTCACTAACCCAGACATCCAAAACACAAAATACGTTTTCATGAATCTCCATTGATTCCACGTCTCTGTTCTTTAATCCACTGAAAGTAGACCCTGTTTTCAGGATCCACGCTAATCCTCATTCATATTTCACATCTCTTTGCTGAGTATTCATCAGTTATGAGGCCTCGTGGAAAAACACGACAGACAGCAGACGAGCCTCATTCTGTTTTTAGCCTTGCATTTTTCTTAACATTAAAATAGAAAAAAAATTAAAACACAAAGAAGTAGTAGTAATATTTTTAATTTTGATATTTAGATTTGCCACCTACACCTCAGGCCTGAATTTAGGCCACAAGACGAAACAAAATGTCGAAAAGCAGGGGACCGCTGATAATACTGAAAATTCTCTGAAGTGGGACCAAGAGTGGAAAAAAAAATCTCCTGGCCTCGTGACGTTTAAAATAGGCCTAAATGAACCTAGTTTTAAAATATGACAATATCTCATTTTACTTTCTATATAAATATAAACTACTAGTAGTAAATTCGTAATATATATTGTATTGGCGGAGCAGGTTATTTTGCTATCTTGGAGGGGTCTCCAAACAAAGACTCAAAAACAAAACCTGCCATATGATACTTTACGTATTTCTGTCACTGAATCCGTTCTCCTTCTGCACCCAGTCTGTTTTTATTTACTGAGATATAGACACGAGCGCTTCTCTCCCCACAGAAGTAAATTACAGCCGTCGCTCTTGTCTCTCCGATTTGCAAATTAAATACATAAGCAATTAAAAAATCCAAACACAATCAATCATGTATACAAATTGTTGTTGCTTTAGGGTTTGAAATTTGGAGAAAACTTCAATCAGGGTAGGACGACTTTAATCCGGGGATCCAAATCCATTACCATATTTCATTACCTCTCCACTGCTGGAAACGGGAGGATGGGAGGGTGGTAGTGGTGGAGGAGGAAGAAGAAGAGGAGGAGAAGGATGAAGGGTTTGTAGACTTTTTTTAAACGTTAGTAAGAATGTGGTGGAGTTGTGCTAATCATTTGGAGGCAAATTGAACCCACTGTTGTTGTTTAGGAGTTCCCCCCTTTCACTCCTGCTCTCCCCTTTTCCCTCTATCCGCCAAGAAGGCTTCGGCTGTTTTGCTTTTTTACGCCCGAGCCTCAAAACGAAAAAGCAATGAAAAATTAATAGCGCATGTTAACTCCACCAGCTCGTTTATTACACGCCCGCTGACTGTAAACATAATGAGAAAGCTCCCGTATCTCTTCTTAAGTTTTCATTTGCTTATAAAATATAAAAGTCATAACTAATAAATAAAATATATGGACTAGAGAGTGAACCGTCTTGGACTTCCCGGGGTGGAACTCGACCGTGTGCCAAGCAGGTAAATCGCTGAGACTGCTTGTCCCACCCACAGGCCCGATCAGATGGTCCTATTTGTAATCATTTGGCTCTTTCATAATGCAAGTAAAGACCAGTCTGTCATCTGCCAGGTGGAATAGAAAGGCCTCATGGCCGTATATCAGCCTAGTTTCTCTACTATGATGGGGCACTTGAGGTCAAAGCTAAAGCAGGCTACGCCATGTGAGGTCATGGTTGTCTTTCTCCCTCCCCTCCCCTGCCTCACTTCTTTCTCTCTTCCATTTTCATGGTATCGGTTGTGCATCACATAGTGTACTCTGCACAGTTTAGTGAGCGTTTTGGTCAACAACTTTTATACGGTGGCGTGTCAGCTTTGACTTTTGGAAAACACAAATCCTGTAGCTGAAGCTTGAATGGTCAGAGTAGTGCAGAGCAGTTCACTGGGTTTCCGAGGCGCCTGCATAAAAACAGGCTGGTAGAGAATGACGCAGAAGAATATACGCAGAGAAACGATATCACTGAGTGGGTCGTATTACTCTCAATACACCTGTATTTTACTGTGGACAGAAGACAGGCCAAGGGGAGCTAACATCATATACGAGTGTTGAAAATGTCTTATAAGACAGATAAATGCCTTGCGTGTTGTTGTTGTTGTTGTTTTAATAATAATTCACAGAAATAACAGCCAAGCTAAATGGAAAGAATCGAGTTTTT